CAGAGTCTATTAGACTCCTTGGTCCCCTCTGAGTGGACATGCACCCCAGTCCCAGCCCAGGAGGCTAGATTCTCAGGACCTTGTCTGGAACCCAGGGGTCCTGAAGACAAATTCAATGAGGGAGGGGTTGGGGAGAGAGAGCACTAGATGCTCCCTCTTTACAATGAGACCAACAGAGCAAGTACTGAAGAGCCACCACTCCTGAGGAACAGGGTGCCCTTTCCTCCCAGAGTTCTGAGTATCCCTCATCCATGCCGTTCTGTGCTGGCCATTCCACCCTCAGGGCAGGTCGGCCTCTGATGGTCCTCATCCATTCTCACTGTCTGGACTTCTTTTTATTGGGTGTCTGCTGAGGGTGAGGACCCTGAGCTGGCAATCCTTAGGCCAGCCCCACTACTGTCTTTCCGCCTCCCATCTGAGTATTTAAACACCATCTCCCTGGTTTCTGGCATCACTGTTTTTGTCCCCTTTGCCCACACCCACTCCGGCCTTTGTGTAAATAAAAGTTCCCAACGTGGTTACAAACTGACTTGCTGTGGATGAGGATGGGAAGCTGTTGCTGGGCCTCCACTGCTTGGGTAAGTGGCGAAGGGCTCACAAATGGGAGGGGAGGTCTGGGCCCTCCATCTGGGCACATCTTAACTCGTGAGCACTGGGATGGCAGGCCTATCTGAGAAACTTCTGCGGTGTGAACCCGAGGGTCGAGGTGGGGTGTTGATCCACCGTGTAACTTCGGGCAAACCTCTCAAGTCTCTTTGTGTAGCAGTGACAAGGGCTTAGCCATGCCATATGTATAAGAGTAAACCATACCCACTGGGTTGCCAGGGCTCTGTCTCTCTCCTTCTCTCCCTCTCTCCCCCTTCTCTCCCACTTCCTTTATTCTGTCCCTTCCTTTTGACCAGATCTCATGTATTCAGGCTGGCCTTGAACTTGCTATATAGCTGAGGATGACCTTGAACTTCTAAGTTTCTGCTGGGATCGCAGGTGTGCACCCCCACACCATTTTTGTGGCACTGGGGTCGAACCCAGTGCTTCATTCATTGCATATCAGGCAAGCGCTCTATCAACTGAGCGACGTCCCCAGCCACACACTCGCACCCCCTGGCCTGTCTCAGTGGCCCCTGTGTTCTAGCTCTGGAGCAGGAGCTTGGAGTGGGAGATTGGAAGACTTGGTTGTTGCCTTCCAGAAGCTCCCGTGAAGGAAGGAAAAAAAAAGACATGGGTCTCGATGAAGCGTTAAGGGACACTGGCTCAGATCTCTGGTCTGGCTACCCTGGTCACTATTCTCTTGGCCAGCCGGCAGCTTTTGATATTAGATGGCATCTTAGTCAGGGTTAGTATTGCTGTGCTGAAGCACCATGACCAGAGCAACCTGGGAAGGGAAGGGTTTTTTTGGCTTTATGCTTCCACATCACAGTTCATCATCAAAGGAAGTCAGGACAGGAATCAACGCAGCAGGAACCTGGAGGCAGGAGCTGATCCAAAGGCCATGAAGAGGGCTGCTTCCTGGTTTGCTAGTCATCATATCTCCACCCCACCTTGCACATTCCCCCACCTCCTCACTCCATCCTCCACTCCTCACTGCATGGCTTGCTCAGTCTATTTTCTTACAGAACAGGAGACGGTGCTGAGGTGGTGGTGGTGGTGGTGGTGGTGTGTGTGTGTGTGTGTGTGTGTGTGTGTGTGTGGGAGAGAGAGAGAGAGAGAGAGAGAAAGAGAGAGAGAGAGAGATGACTCCACCCACAATGGGCTGGGCCTTCCCACATCAATCACTAGTAAAGAAAATGCCCTACTCTGGACATTTTCTCTACTGAGGCTCCCTCCTCTCTGATGACTCTAGCTTGTGTCAAGTTGACAGCACAGACGGCTAAATGTTTTGTTTCACTATCAATCTGGGTATGTGCTGTCTTCAAAGGAAGCACTCTGCATCCTGGTCTCTCCTGGAGGCACACAGCATTGTAGCCCAAGGCCAAGCACCTGCTGAAGCCTGCCCCCCTTCTCCTCTTCACTCAATACACATTTACCTAGGGACTTAGAAGTTCCTTGACCACAAGCTGGGGTCAGCCAGGAGGGACTAGGTGTGGCAGAACCAAGGGCCAGCGAGGTGGTTTTATCTTTAGTACTTTGGCCAATCTGTTATGGCACCCTGACCTCCACGGAGAGGTCCTGGTATATGGCTGCCAGGGAGTCCTTGAAATAGAACCAGGGTCTGGTGAAGCAAGGGGAAGAGAGCTGCCCTGGCCCTGAGCAGGTGCTTATAGTCTCAGGGACATGGTGGTGGCAGTGACTCTTGGATATTGGAACCCATACTTGGTCTGGTGCCTGGAACCTTGGGCTTAGATAGCCTTACTCCTTGATGTGTCTTCATGTGCTGGTTTAGGAGCCCTTTCCTGGTCCTCTCTGTGACGTAACAAGACAGGACACTGGATGGTTTCAATGACAATAGGGAAGCTGATGGTTCACAAACTGTACCCAGCCACACCTCATTTCTATGAGGGAAGCATCTGAAAGGGCCAAAGAGGGCTAATTCCTAAGGACCAGTGGCCTGTGCCTTCTGCAACTTCCCGGTGGGTGTGGGTTTCACTCTGATCACGAGTGTGATCTGCGAGTCTCCCATATGCCCCTCAGAATGCGTCCCTGTGCTCTGGTCCCAGTCCATCCTACTCCAGCCATACTTCCTGGGCTGTTTGAGCATGCTATGCCACACACACATGCTATGCTACACACACATACACATGCTATGCTACACACACACACACACACACACACACACATGCTATACCACACACACATGCTATGCTATACACACATATGCTATGCCACACATATGCTATGCCACACAATGCTATGTCACACACATGCTATGTCACACACATGCTATGCCACACACATGCTATGCTACACACACACACACATGCTATGCCACACACACGTGCTATGTCACACACATGCTATGCCTGTTGCTGGGAAGGCTGCTCCAATTATCCTTACCCCAGCACCTTGCTGCACCCATGGCTCAAGTCACCTCAATCCTTCCCAGCCTTTTAAACGCCCCATCCATGATTGTCTGCTTCTCCTTAATGCTTTGGTTTGACCTAAGACATCAGAATATAAACCCCGCGAAGGAAGGCACCTGGCCGCTCTTGTTCACTATTCTGTTTTCCAGCACGCAGGGCCTGGTACATAGCAGGTGATTAATACTCATTAAATAAACAAAAAATATATTCTGAACACAAAGGAACAAGACTCTACTCATCAAACTAGGAATGAAGGGACTTGGATTCAACCTGTGTGTGGCTGTGTGTTCTGACAGTCCAAGATTCCCAGTGGCTCTTTGCACGAAGAGCAGGACCCTGTCCCTTCATGACTCAATTCTGAGTCGTCAAAATGATGTGGGGGTACGGCAATAGAGCACTTGCCTAGCATGAGAGAGGCCCTGGATTTGATCCCCAGTAACACTAACACATGCGCGCGCGCGCACACACACACACACACACACACACACACACACACCATTTAACAGAAATGACACTACAGCTAGCTGGTTCGGCTGTCCCCAGAGATAGTGCATACCTTGCAGTGCTTCCCCAACCATCAGTCCATGGGGCACCAAGATTACTTGCCACAGGTTGAGAAGATCCCACCACCTGTCAGCTTCCAATGAAGAAACCAGGGCTATCCTGTAAAATTAAGTCACACCACGCCCTAAGCCTTCACGTCCAAAGCTTCCTACCAAGTAAAAGTTTAAAGCCAGGTGTGGTAGCACAGACCTTTAATCTCAGCACTCAAGGGGCAGAGGGAGGCGGAGCTCTGTGAGTTCAAGGCCAGCCTGGTGGTCTACAGAGTTCTGGGACAGCTAGAGAGACCCTGTCTTGAAAAACAAAAACTAAAGAAAGTTTAAGTCCCCTCCATCCCTCAGAGTACTGGGGTCAAACCCAGGACCTTGTGCATCCTAGGTGAGTACTCTAATTGAGCCACATCCCCAGCCGCCAACCAAAGTCCGAATTCTCATAGAGGCCACAAAGTCCAATAAAATCTTCTCTATTCATCTCCTAATCCCTCCAGCACTCACCCTTCCCACCTTCTGGCTTTCTGGTGTTGCTCATATTTCTAGGCCTTTATACCTATAGTTCCCTTTTCTTAAGATGCCTCCAGTACCCTGTAAAAGACCAATTATAGTTTTTCCTACACACACACACACACACACACACACACACACGCGCGTGATAAAGTCAAACTTCTAAATTAGTCATAGTGAGAGATTAACAGTAACTAATAGAACAGTAATGACAATACATTGTATCTAAGGTTTGGACTGTGGCTCAATTGACAGAGTGCTTCGACTCTGGGTTCAAACTCCAGCAACACACAAACATGGTGGCACCTGTAATTCCAGCACTCAGGAGGTGGAGTCAAGAAGGTCAAGTTCAAGGTCATCCTCAACTACACAGCAGCAGGCTTGAGGTCTGCCTGGATACAGGAGACTGTATCTCAAGAAGTTTCTCTTTAACAACTTGACAAATGTTAGTATTTATGCAATGGGCAAAAAGAAAAACTACAGGAGGGAGGGGCTAGGGCATCTTGCTCACTGTTACCTAGACTTGAGGATCAGAGGCGAGCTCTGTGGCCCAGACAGGGCAGTTATCTGTTCACTGGTATAGGCAGTGCTGGTTTCTTGGGCTTTAGAAGACATGGGTATCTCCTGATTGATCTGGATGAGAGAGAGGGTCCAGAGGGCGGCCGAAACAGTAAAAAGCAAGCCCAAGACAATCTGAGGTTGCAGCAATGAAGAAGAAATAATTCCAAAGCTGCTTCTGAGGGAATGCCAGCAAGAACTGGCGGTGTGTGTGTTGGAAAGAACAGGAGGCAGCCATGAATGGCACTGGTGTCACTCAGGCTCAGGGCTGTCCACAGGATCCGTGACAGCACTGTGCCTGTGGGCAATCCACACATCTGGGAAATGACGCACAAATAACAACACAAAACCCAACACCAGGACGTAAATCTGCATTGGCAATTTTTAATGTCTCACTTGTGCAGAACTGAAATGTGTATTTAAAGGCACAGAAGGAAGGAAAGGCAATTATCTGAGCGTGAAGTCATAGGTAAGGATGCTGGAGAGAAACCTTAGGCCGCTCTGCTTAGCTGTAGGAGTTGACAATGCAGCGCTGGACTGGAGCTCGGAGGCCGTGATGGTCCGTGTGAAGGCACCACTCACACGTCAGCAGGGCACAAGCCAGTCCTCGTGTGGTCACCCCGCTGTGGAGAAATGCCCAGGAGGTGCGCGCCACGGTGAGCGGAGTGGCAGGGGCAGCATGATTCACACTCAGGACACAGACAGACGTCTGAAGCGGCCAAGCACGCACCTTTACCACTGGAGATCTTTCACGATGCTGTCTCTAAAAGGAAACATCTGCCTGCCTACCAAGAATTATAATTTAAAAAATGGAATCTGGTATAATTATAACTTGTGAATAAAAAAAAAATACGAAAACGAAAGCAGACATCTGTCCTTGAAAAAAGACAGGAAAGTTCTTTCCTGTTACAGAGAATCATGTCTAGTTCCCCTTACGTCTTTTCAAATGTCATCTTTTTCTCATCGCTTGTCACATTTAACACTGGGGAATGTGTACAGTACAGCGACTTCTGTTAGTGAAAGGGTGTGTGTGCTATTATCTGCTGGGGAAAACGAGAAAAGGCTAGTTTACCTCTAACAAGGCCAGGGGGGAGGAAAAGTTAAGACCAATTTTCTCTTCTCTCTCTCTCTCTTTCAGACAGGGTCTCACTACAGAGCCCTGCCTGGCCTCTGCCTCAAGCCCTGGGATTAGAGCCAAGTGCTATCAAGCCTGGCTCAAAATTAAGACTTTCTTAAAAGCGAACCCAAACTCAATGATTTAAAAGATTTCTAATTTCAAGTACTATTAATTCCTAAGCTGGGTGTGGTGGTTCACACCTGTAACCCCAGCATCTGGAAGGTAGAGAAAGGAGGAAGAAAAAGTCTGGGGCCAACAGGGGCTAGAGTGAGACCTTATCTCAAAAAATTAAGGAAGACAGGGAGGGAAGGAGGAAGGAAGAAAGAGAAGGAGGAAGGAGGGAGAAGTGGGGAGGGAGGAGGAAGGGAGGGGATTCTCGATTGGCGTGTGGCCAGAAAGGACAGAAAGCCTGTGCCTGCAGCAGTACAGCACAGACTAACAACTTCCATTTCAGTAACATTACCTCACTAAGTTTTACTTTTCTTTCTTATTTAAAACACTGATTGGCCAGGTTAAATCAGAACAGCATGAAGGTAAACACAAATTGCATGTAGGTACAAGCACAATGATTTGGGACCACAATTTCTGTCTCGCAGAAAGTACCTGGAGGTGGCGTCCCCCTTTAAACACATAACCCGAAAACCCTATATGCAGATTCACATAGTGAGGAAATAAACGAGTTGTGCACTGCCTTAAATAATTGTACAAATTGGTGGTACACCAGATGTTAGATAAGACTATGCTTTAAAAATATTAAACCTCAATTTATTATCCAGTGTTTTAAGAAATGGATTATTAAAATCATTTTTGAAATGAGATTGTAAATGTATTTAAATCTGGACTTTTATGTACTTAATCATTTTTCTTAAAAAATTAAAAATATCAAGAGCTGGAACATGCTGCCAGGACAGAAATAATTGGAAGTGTGTCCAGTCGCTGAGTGACTCAGTCTTGTTTTGTGTCCTTCAAAGCCTGAAGCCTCTCTAGCAGTGGGGGGTGCGAGTAGTGCCACGTTGAAAACAGCCAGTCAGAAACGGGGAACCCCAGGTTATCTTTGTTCAGCTTGATCAAAGCAGAATATAAGTCTTTAGCCATCCCAAGTTTCTTGGCAAAAGCATCAGCCTGAAACTCAAATCTGCGGCTCAGGACTGTTAGGCAGAAAGACAGAACCTGCAGGAGAAAAGAGAAGGGTTTAGTGCCTGGCACCTTCATTGACAGGGAAGTCTTCACGAGCCAGGCTGTGGAGGAAGGCTGGTCAGGACATGAGAAAGGCAAGCCAAACCTACTACGAGACTATGACTTAGGGATTCAAGGATGGGTGGGGTGGGGTTGTCAAACTGAGCTTTCCCCACCCCAAGCAAACAGACCAGAAATGTATACATCCTTATTACACTTCTGCCCCACATCCCAGGTGCTAGGATCACAGGAGTCTACTACTACACCCGGAGGTTCTTTTTCAAATATTCATTTTGTGCTTGTGTTTTGCCTAGTGCCCAAAGAGGTCAGAAGGGGCTTGAAGATCCCTTTGAACTGGAGTTATGGATGGCTGAGTCATCACGTGGGTGCTGGGAACTGAATCCAGGTCCTCTGTAAGGGTAGCAAGTGTTCTTAACCACTAAGCCAACTCTCTAGCCCCACAGAGGATCATAATATTCTTAATCATTTATCTATCTTTAGTATGTCTTCACTGAGATTATTCTAAAACACATGATAGAACCTCTGACAACAGTTTCAAATTTTGTTTTGGTAACAACAAATTTGGTCTGTGTAGATGGCCTCACACTCATACTCTTCCCCCTTCAGCCTCCTGAGTCAAAACTGAATGTTGTGAAAAATTATTAATATTATTTTAACTGTATAAAGGTATGTTACATTTGTTTCTGCTGTTTTTGTTAATAATGCAAAGATGCATTACATTTGTTTGATTAAATAAAATTAACCTGGGGATCAGGGAGTGGTAGGGGGAACCATGTGTAGCTGGGGTTCTTAATTGGGGGCTGAGCAGAAGGTCACCCTGTTTTTCAGGAGACTTGAGCTAGGAAAGCAGGTTAGCTACTTGCTATTCAGCCTCTCTGAACTAGCAAGATTTTACCTCAAAAAAAAAAAAATGGCTATGACAATACCTCCAGAGTAAGTTTAAGTTCACATTTTTTAAAGACCATTATGAAAGGAAAATTTTTATAGAAAAATATAAACTCCGAGGGATTAAAAAGTCTTTGCAACAGCACTTGAGAAACAGAGGCAGGTGGATCTCTGAGTTGGAGGCCAGGCTGGTCTACAGAGTGAGCTCTAGGACAGAGGCTAGAGAGGTGGCCCAGCATCTAACAGATGTACTCATCTTCCAGGGACCCGGGCTGGATTGCCAGCAACAATGTCAGACAGCTTACAGCTCCAGGAGCATCCACCAGCTCTGGCCTCTGCCGGCACCTGCATCCACACGCCCGTGCCACAAACATCACACACATAGTTAAAAACAATAAAAGTAAATCTTAGAAACAAAACAACAGTTTAATGTCTATAGTTTGAAAATAATAAATACATGTTCTCTCAAAATTTATATAGCTTGTGTGGACACTTTACAGCTATTTCTCTCCATTTTTTTTCATGGCACACCCCACCCTCACCCCAAATGCTTTCCTAAGTGAAGAACTAGAATTCACCTAGTTGGTTTTATAACCTTTACTCTGGAACCCATCTCAAGGATGCATGGAGGTTCCTCAAGATCACCGATATTTCCTGGCTTCATCTGGAAGCCTTACCAAAGGCCATGAGATTCTGCTCTGAACTGCAGTCTCATTAACCCGTGTCACACGTGCAGAATCTGCTCGCGACTGCTTCCTAACCTCACTTGTGATTTTGTGGACCCTGAAGAGGACCCTAAAGTTTCTGTAGATAATCAGAGGAACGCTTTCACACAGCCCTTCCAGTCTAGCTGCCTCCTTAGTTCCCATCCGCTTTGTCCTTTCACACAGGTTTTCACGCCCACGCTGTGAACACATGGCTTGGACACGGCACAGCAGGTGACTTCCGGTTACTGGAGCCCGGAGGGATACGAATCAGGCTTCTACTGTTAAGCTCCCATTCTCTACTTTTATCACCAACAGTATTCTGAGCACTTAACTGCTCAGAATATACAGTGAGAAACTAGAAGCTTCTATGGTTTTGTTGATATATTTTCACACTACCCTAAAGAATTCAGATTTGAAACAGGCAAAAACACATATGTAGTAATTTAAAAAAGCATACATTACCTCATTGTAGGGTGAGAAAATAAACTGAAAGATGATCAAGAGTCCAATCAGAGTGGGTTGGCTGTCATAAAAACCAAAGGCAGCAAAAAGTACCTTTTGACCAATTAACACAGCAAACAAGAAGAAACAAAGGAAAGAATTTATCTAGAAAAGAGGACATAATATTACTGGTTACTATGCTGCTAAGCAGGCTGTGTGCATTGTCTTAATCAATGATTGGTGGGGGAGGGCCTATCTCACTGTGGGTGGTGTCACTCCTGGGCAGGTGGTCCTGGGTTGTAGAAGAAAGCAGGTTGAGCAAGCCATGAAGAGCAAACCAGTATGTAATGTTTAGTTACATTTAGGGAATGTAATTACATTACATTTAGGGAATGTAATGTTCCCTCCATGGTAGTGGTTCTCAACCTTCCTAATGCTGTGGTTCTCTAATACAGTTATTCATACTATGGCAGTTCCCCAACCATAAAATTATTTCATTGTTACATCATTACTGTAATTTTGCTGTTATGAATTGCAATATAAATATCTGATATGCAGGATATCTGGTGCAACCCTCAAAGGGGTCATGACCCACAGGTTGAGAACCACTGCTCTACATCAGCTACTTCAGTTTCACTTCCAGGGAAGACCCTGGCACCCTCAGTGACAAGAGTGTGACCTGAGAGCTGAACGACGAAATAAACCCTTTCTTCCACACCTTGTTTTTGGTCATGGAGGTACAGTAACAGAAACCCTACCTGAGACACAAGCTATGCTGGCACCAGCTCAAAGTAGGGTGCTGTAGCATTTGGTGTCATGGAGAGACGGTCCTGGAAGGCACTGACACAGAAAAACTTCTTGTTTTGTTTTGTTTTGTTTTGTTTCTGAGACAAGGTTTTTCTGTGTAGCCCTGCCTACAGGAACTTGCTTTGTAGACCAGGCTGGCTTTGAACTCAGAGATCTGCCTGCCTCTGCCTCCTAGGTGCTAGGATTAAAGGTGTGCACCGCCACGCCTGGCATTAGAGAAGCATCTCGATGAAGAGAACTTTAAATAGTATATCTAACTGGCTATGGAGAAGAAGGAGATGAAAATACACACTAATTTGCTGACAGTGGGCAGATGATAGTTTGGTTGGATGACCAGGGGCCTCGGAACATACTGGAGTGAGGCTAGCCTGCTTCCACAGTTACTCTAGGACTTTCCCAATGTGTCCTCAGGGACCAGTCCACTGCCTTGCGGGTAGGGCTGATCCCACCACACCCACCCCTTTACAGAAGGGGCAGTGATTTTCCTTACAGATCAAGCACTGAGTTAGAATTAGAATCTGGCTTTATTTAAGTCCTATGTGCTGTGTTTGTACAGCACAGCTTCAAGCTAAGGAACTAAGTTTCGACTAACAACTTATGGCAACAGGAAAACCAGGTTCACCAGTCTTCCCAGCTATGTCTGCACAGCCCAGAACCACTGGCCTTTCTGGAACAGACCCATCTAAGACTCGGTGAAGCATGGCATGATGATAAAAGCCTGCAATTCTAATGCTTGGGAGGCAGGATGATTACAAGCTGAAATCTCATCCCTACAGATGAGATTATATCTTAAAACACACACACACACACACAAACACAATCAGTTAAGGCTGTATGTACTCAGAACCAGCCAACACAGACTGCTAATTGCTATTTCAGCCAGAGCTTGAAAACATCTTCACGTCATTTGGAACAACGGTTTTCAACCTTCCTAATGTTGTGACCCTTTCCTACAGCTCATGTTGTGGTGACCCCCAATCATAAAATTATTTTCATTGCTACTTCATAATTTTGTTACCAATATGAATTGTTATGTAAGTGTCTGTATTTTCTGATAGTCTTAGGCGACCCCTGTGAAAAGGTCGCTCAAGCCCAAAGCGGTTGTGACCCACAAGCCGAGAACCACTAGTTAGAGAACTAGCAACACCCGAGGAGTGGTTACTGGAATTGCTTTCTGCAGTTTTTGGTGAATATATAATTACTTTGAAATGGGGAAAAGGCTTTGGGTTGGCTCTGGTTTGGTGTTGTTTCCTAGGAGACAGGATGTGCCAGTTGATCTTCATCAACCTGACACAAACCCTGGTATATCTGGGAAGAGGAACCTCACGTGAGAAAGCGACCCCACCAGATGGCCTGCAGGTAAACCTGCAGGGCATTTTCTTGATTCATGACCTCTGTGGGCATCCGCACTCAAGTACACACACTCACTGCAGACACACATCCCTATGCATGATCATCATGAAAATAAATCTTTTTAACAATAGAGTCTTCTAAAAAACCTTTTAAAAGTAGAAATACAGTATCTATATTTTACAAGTATGATCTATTTATTTCTGTATAGCGTGTATGAGTTTTTGTGGCAGCACGCAGACAAGCATGTGGAGGTCAGGACAACCTGCAGGAGTCCCTTCTCTCCCGCCACCAGGTGGGTCCCGGAATCAATCTAGCATTGTCCCTTGACAGCAAGCACCTTTACATACTGAACATCTCACCAACCTTAGAAAAGCAGTTTAATGTACAGCCTCCAGCTCATGTATCTGAGCAACTCTGGAAGTGACAGCAATGATGGTGACAGCAGTAAACACTAATATGTACTTAACATGCTCTCACCATGCTCAGTACACTTCCAAACTCTGCCAGTACACGAATATATTTAATTCCTAACCAGCCCTATGCTGTATTAGTCAATGAAGAACTGGAGGCAGAGACAAATTAAGGAATTGCCTCAGGTCTCACATATAAACTCGGAACCACAATGAGAAGTCAGGCAACTTGGCCTCAAAACTGAGATCCTCCTGCCTCAGTAGTCTCTTGAATGGTAGGATTACAAGTCTGTGCCATCACTCCTGGCTTGGTGAATGCCTTGTCCCCATTACTATATAATGTCTCAGGTCTTTATTTACTTACTTAGCCTTTTTACTTTATTTTATTTATTTATTACTTTATTTACTTACTTAGTTTTTCTTTTTTTAAAAAATATTTATTCATTTATTTATTTTATTATGTATACAATATTCTTTCTGTGTGTGTGCCTGCAGGCCAGAAGAGGGCACCAGACCCTATTACAGATGGTTGTGAGCCACCATGTGGTTGCTGGGAACTGAACTCAGGACCTTTGGAAGAGCAGGCAATGCTCTTAACCACTGAGCCATCGCTCCAGCCCTTAGCTTTTCTTTTTAAGATCAAGTCTCAACATGTAGATCACTTTGGCCTGGAAGCTGCTATATAGCCCAGGACAGCATTTGGCTTTTAAAAATTTTAATTTATTTGTTTTGTTTATCAGACGTGTGTGTACAGAAAGAGTACATGCCACATTGCAAGTGTGGAGGTCAGAGGACAACTTGAGGAAGCTGGTTCTCCCATTGTGAATCTTGGGGTTAAACTCAGGCTTGGCAGCAAGCACCTTTAACCGCAAAGCCATTTCACCAGTCCCTTGAGCATAGGTCTTTCTGCCTAGCAGTCCTGAGTACCTTAGATTATAGGTGGGCACCACCACACTCACTTCTGCCATTCTAACTCTGCCTTCATAACAAGGCACAGGTGAGCCAGAGTGTTCAGCTGGAATCCCAGAGCACGGGAGTGAAGACAGGTGGAGCTCAGTTCAAGGTCATCTCTGGCTATGTGAAACCCTGACTCAAAGAAAACAAAACAAAAATACAACCATCACTCCAAACTTACCTGACTAATAATGATATTTTTTATTGTGTGTCCCAACTTCCAGTGCCCCAATTCATGGCCAAGTACAGCCAGCACCTCCTCATTTTTACATCCTTGTTTCTTATTCTGAATAAAAAAAGAGAGAGAGAGAGAGAGAGAAAATAGCCTATTAATAACTTTTAATTCATTTCTATCTTTAACCTTGATCCAGTAATGTCCCTTCATTAATTGTAACGTAAACAACAGATTTCAGTATAGAACTTTGCTTAATATGACATTTCACTACATGCACCCCGAAGACAGAATTATAAACAAAACAGCACCCAACTTCACTAAGGGAGAACAAAAAAAATTGGAAAAGCATAAATCTTTATCAGCAAGGAAAGAGTTAAATAAGTCATAATGAAACCATTTGAAAGCCACATCCTAAACCCATCAGACACTTCATCCTCAAGTTTGTTCTGAAGTGGAAACTCCTTAAGAGCATGAGCAAGTAACTGTCATGCACACAGTCACCGGAACGCTGACGGGAAGCACGGTGTCAGGAGCAGTCAACTGCATATGACAGACTGCAGTGACCTGACTGCTTGACATCCTTCCTATTTTTCAAATGTCTACAAATATGCACATCTCAGTCATGACTTAAAAATACAGCAGTAACAGCTGTTTAAAAATAGATCCTCTGGGCTAGGTGAATCAAAGCCTGCTGCCTTAAATGCACAAGGCCCTGGTTCTAATCCCCAGCACTACCAAAAATCAGAAAAATAAAAACTGATTTAAACTATACGATAATGCAAGGAACACAGGAGAAACAGGAAGGGTGAAAACAGGAAAGTGGGGACAGGAAAGTGGAGCGGCAAATAGCAGCACATTAAGCAGACAAAGCAGCCGTGGAGCGTACGGAGAGGGTTCTGACTACATTGGTGAACTTTCAAAGGACATGGAGAACAACACCAAGCACCCCTGGAGCTGGAGAGAAAGAGGAAGTAGGCTATATTAAGACCCAAGAAAACAGAGAAATGGCTCAGTGGGCAAAGGTGCTTATGTCAACAAACATAAAATTACGAAAAGTTGGCTCAACAGACAAAGGTGCCCGCTACCAAGGCTGATGACCTGAGCCTGATTCTTAGGACTCATATGGGAGGAGAGGATCGAATCCTGAAAGTGATTCTTTGACTGCCACATGTATGCCCATGCACATGGACACCCCACCCCTACATGTCACACATACAACAATAATAACTGAACTCAGTTTAAAAAAAAATCTAACATTCAAGTAACATGATCTCTGAAAAAAGAAAACAGAAACAAAAAGGAGCAGCTGGTGTGCGTGCATGTATGTGTGTGTGTGCCCATGCGTGCGTGCGTGTGTGTGTGTGTGTGTGTGTGTGTGTGTATGTGTGTGTGTGTACCAGGACAGACAAATACAAATCTTCACCAGGCCTAGGGTCCTTCAAGATTAAGTTCAATGCAACAGGCTGGAGAGATGGCTGCTCTTCCGGAGGACCGGGTTCCATGTCTAGCACCCCGTGGTAGCTCACAGCTGTCTGTAATTCCAGTTCCAGAGGAACTAACTGATGCCATCTTTTTGCATCCTCAGGCACCTGGCATGCATGTGGTGCACATATATACATGCAGGTCAAATACACACACCCATATAGTTAAAAAAAAACACAGTGATAAATTATAGTAAAAATCACCAAATACTTCAGAAAACATCACGATAAGTGGGCTATAATAAAGAGCAGCATTAGTGCCATAAGAACTGGTACAATGGGATTATCAGATTCAGAATACAAATAAGTATGTGCTGTACAAATAAGGAAACCGTGGGGGCAGCGGTGGTGCAGCCTTTAATCCCAGCACTTGGGTAGCAGACACAGGCAGATCTCTTGAGTTTGAGGCCAGCCTGGTCTACAAAGTGAGTTCCAAGACAGCTAGGACTGTTACACAGAGAAACCCTGTCTTGAAAAACAAAAGAACAGTAAAGGCTTGGAATAGTGGTGCATGCCTTTAATCATAACACTTGGTAGACAGAGGCAGAAAAGCAGATGGATCAATGTGAGGTTGAGGCCAGCCTGGTCTACATAGGGAGTTTCAGGACAGCCAGGGCTACGTAGAGACCCCATCTCAAATAAAAAAATAAAATAAAATAAAAAAACAAAACAAAACAAAACAAAAAACCACCAAAAGCAAAAGGCAAAGACATGATAGCGTAATAAGGAACACAGCTGGGCTGAGAATATATGCCTTGCATGTGTCGTTCACCTTGGCTGACTTCCCGGCACGGGATGGGGACGGGATGACACACAGCATGGGTGGGAGTCACACTCAAAGCCTTATCAACGTGAAATGCAAATAGAAGGGTAACTTGCCACCAAAACGAGGCGTAATGATTCGCAGTGAAATGTTAGCAAGAACTGCATTTTCTTTCCTTCCACATTAATGTCACAGCAAAGATTATAGACAAATACCACACCATGTATATAGCACACTCCTTCCCATAAAACTCGGACCTTATCTAATCTATATGGGAGTAGAAAAAGGCAAGAAAGATCTCCTGAGTACATTGGGAGCATGGAGATCATGGGAGAGGGCAGAAGGGGAGGGCAGAGGAAGGAAGGAGAGCAGAGAAAAATATATAGTTCAATAAAAAAAAAAGAAAAAAATTAGATCACGGCTCTTTTATCTGTTTACACAACTACAAAAAGCCAGTTATCTGTGAAGTATGTATGCATACATATCAATGTCAAATAAAAAGATACTTTAATTACTTGAAAAAATAAAACTCAGACCTTGCCTTATTTGATCTTTAACAACACTGCAGTGGCAACGAGAGGAGCATCTTTACTTTAGAGATAGAGTAAAGGAAGCTGAGAAATCAAAATGTGTTGGAGTGGGAGGCATTATAACCCCAGCACTTGAGAGCCCAGGAGGTCAAGGTCCAGCCTAGGTTACGTGAGATCCTGTCTCAAAACAAAACAAAAAACAAAAAAACCTCTTCAATCTGATAAACCCATCCCCCTGTCAAAATTCTGCACTGTTCACATACCCTCTTTTCAAAAATCTGCCTGCCTATTAGAATCTGCAGTTATATCTCAATTTCAAGATGGGTACAGTTAAGGGATACACCTCCCAGACTGGAGACTGAAGTAGAGGATCAAGAGTTGAGGTCAACTTGGGCTATATCAGATTCTACCTCAACAGAACAAAGAACAAAACCCCAAACCTCCAATTTTCAAAATGCCACACACTTTGGCTATTCAAGATGTAGCTCATACACTTCAGCATGTCCCAAACTACAGGCTCCTTGGCACGTCTACTCACAGGTTTGTTAGGGTGGAATGAGGTCTAAGTACCATGACAAATGCTGTATACGGTAGCTGATGAAATAAAAGCAGGTTCTTCAAGAAGCCAGCAGAGGGCGGCAAGCCCCTTCACCACACTTCAAGGGCGCTCAACATTTGTTCTTTGCCTTTGTACTGCTGAGGACTGAATGCAGGCCCAAGGCATGCTAGGCAGGTATTCTACCAACTGAGTTTGTAGCCAGATAAATATGTTTTCAAAGACACTAACGGCCTGCATTCTCCTTACATTGTCGCAACCCCTGGATCACTCGCTAGTGTGGAAATGACCATCATATACCCTGCACTGGACACTCCTAAGTGGGCTCTCTGCTGAACCTGCAGGCCTCTCAGGGGAACTCTCACTGAGCTGCCCTTTCTCACCTTCAGTTCTCCTTCCTATGAAATGACCTTAAGCCCCGTGCCAGCTTTGACTCTATGGCACTGGTTAAACCTAAGTGGGTAATTCCACCTAAAGTAAACACTGAAGGTCAGCTGTGGTAGTTCACACCTATACTCTCAACACTCAAGCCTGAAGCAGGAAGGTCCCAAATTTGACCCAACCTAACCTGAACATAATAAGTTCCAGACCAGTACGGACCACACACAGCAAGCCACGTCTTCTGGGACTGTGTGGGGTGTGTGGATGTACATGTGAGTGTGTGTGCATATGCATTTGGTGCACGGGAATGCGCAGGAATGCACCTTAGCCTTGAGACAGAGTCTCTCACTGAACTGGAAGTTCTGTTTTGGCTGCCAGTGAGCACTTCGGGTCTGCCTGTCTCCATGCCTAGCTGTTTATATGGGTGCCAGGAATTCGAATTCAGGTTCTCAAGTTTGTAGAAAAAAATGCTCTTACCCACTGGGATATCTTCCCAGCCGTACAAGATTCTGCCTTAAAAAAAAAAAAGGCTGGAGTGTTAGCACAACAGTTAAAAACAAAACAAGAGCATTTGCTGCTCTTGCAGAAGGTTCAGGTTTGATTTCCAACTCCCACATGGTGTCTCAAAATCACCCATAACCCCAGTTCCAGGATATCTGTCTAATATCCTCTTCTGACCTCCACCAAGCATGTATGTGGTGCACATTTACCCACGCAGGCACATACATAAACACGCACACAAACGAATAAATCTAATAAAACAAAACACAGATGGTTTAGGAGCTCTTTCAGAGAATCTGGGTTTGGTTCCCAACACCCATGTTAGGTGGCTCAAGACTGCCTCTAACTCCAGCTCCAGACACCTGCACACACATGTACTTACCCACACACTCATAACTGGAAATATATCCTCTAGAAACCGAAAGGCATTTGCTCTTCTAGTTTAATCCTTGTACATAAATGTCTCACCCATAAATTTGTAACAGGAACAGGCACTTAATTAGATTACCCCTTTAACAATCAAAACAAGCCCTTAATCCCAGCATTTGGGAGGCAGAGGCAGGTAGATCTCTGTGAGTTCGAGGCCAGCCTGGTCTACAAGAGCGAGTTCCAGGACAGGCTCCAAAGCTACAGAGAAACCCTGTCTCGAAAAACAAAACAAAACAAACAACAAACAACAACAATAAAAAACCCAAAAAACAAAACCCAAATGCTCAGATGACAACCACTATTTTCCAGACACAGAGACTTCACGGTGTTTTCCCATCCCATCTCACAGCTCGAGAAGGCTTTACTCCAACATTTCCCAAGCATGAGATCCTGCACCATCCTGACTCCGCTCTACTCCCACCCAAGAATATCTAATCATACCTGGGAGCCATTTTGGTTGTAATAAGTGAGTGGTCACTGGTCTTTAGTGGGGACAGGCCAATGATGTTGCCAAACATCACAAGACACTATCCAGTCCAGCAGTGCCAAGGTTGAGAAAGCCTACCACCCTCTCCTCTGCCTCCAGGATTAGACATTCAGAAACCTTAACCTTCTTGCTCAGTTATGCAGCTGGTAAGGGAACAGAGATCTAAAATCATCTCACAGGACACCAAGCCAAGGCACATGCCATCCCACATAGAAATACTGGAAGCTGTCCTGAAGATTATTATTTCTTGCTACCCCCCTCATCCATTTGTTTTTAGTACTTTAAATTTTCCTAGTCAGCATTAGCTGACCTCATCCAGCAATGCTTTTAGACTCTTAGAAAAGTTTTCTTGGGACTGGGCGCACGGCACACACTTTTTGTTGGGGGGGGGGGGCAGTTCAAGACCCCTTTTAATCCCAGAACTTGGGAGGTAGAGACAGGTGATCTCTGAGTTTGAAGCCAACCTGGTCTACGTAGTGAGTCCCAGGACACCAAGGGCTACATATAGAGACCTTGTCTCAAGAACAAACAAACAAACAAAACAGGAAAAGCTTTCTTGGACCAGTGAGATGGTAAAGGTGTTTGCCAATAAGTCTGGAAACATGAAAAGGGGGAAGGAGAGAAGTGCTTCCACAGATTGCTCTCTGATCCCTACACACAAGCCATGGCATGTACATATCACTCACATGACTGCGCACATCCGCACAAATAAAAAGGAAAAGAAATGCCTTCTTGTCTACTCTTCTCTATCTTGTATCTTCAGCTTCCCAGAACCAGAGCAAAGGATGTTTGTCTGACCACCCCCTCACACTGTATGTTTATAAAGATTAGACTTCAAAAACATTTTTTCCCCGATTTTGAGACAGCACCCAGCTCTTTTGTTTACTTTTGACAGTTCTGTCACTCCCTCTGTAGACCAGTCTAAGCTTCAAACCACTTGTCTCTGCTTCCTGGGTGCTGGGATTAAAGGCGTGAATTATCAACCCAGACTACTTTTGTAATTAATGCCAAGCAAAGCAGTTTAGTACAGAGCACATATTTCATGAATAAATCTTAAAAACAAAAAAACTGATTCAATTATATAATGCACGCAAGGAACCCCAGTGACTAAATGACAGACTAGGTCAACTCTGTTCACTACAAAGTAAAGCCTAGTAACCCTATGTCTCAATTACACCAAAAAGTAAATGTTCATCTTATTTTGACTGCAGAAATTCTGTGATCATAAACATAAAAGGAATATGGGCCAATAAGATGGCTCATCAGATAAAAGTGACACTCAACAGGCCCTCAGACCTTAGTACAACTGACTCCAAGATGGAAATACCATTCAGGCCATAAAACTCAGGATGTAGGCAGCACCACCAGTCAAAATGAAAACAAAGACCTAACCCACCAAAATCCATAGTTCTGGGAAAGTCTCTGAATGTACTAACTTTCCTTTTTAACTTCTGTAGTCTTGCTTCTTTCTGGCTAACTGTGTTTGTTAGCTAAAGCATGTCAACTTGAGACATGGGTTTTGTGCTTAAAACTTTATCCTAAAGGGGCTGGAGAGATGGCTCAAAGGTTCCGAGCATTGGCTGCTCTTCCGGAGGTCCTGAGTTTAAGTCTCAGCAACCACAACCATCTATAATGAGATCTGGTGCCCCCTTCTGGCCTGCAAGTGTACATGCACATAGAACACTGCATGCATAATAAATAAATCTTTAAAAAAAAAAAAGTCCACCCTAAGAAAGGCTTGGGACTACAATGGGGTTATACTGATTACACCCAGTTTAGTTGCTAGCCAGCTAACAAAGACACTTATTGGTTTAAACCTGTATCTGAGTAGTCTTCTCTGTAGATACCCCATAACTGTCACCAATCCTGACTAGCTGATTTCAATTCCCAGGGCCTACAGTAGCAGGAGACAACTCCTACAACTTGTCCTGACTTCCATGTTTGCACAATGTGCACACATAGTGTACACAGCGTGCACATGTACAAACACACACACACACACACACACACACACACACACACACAAGTAAAACTATTACATGTTTAAATTTTGGTTTTTTGAGACAGGGTTTCTCTGTAGCTTTGGAGCCTGTCCTGGAACTCTCGTAGACTAGGCTGGCTTCGAACTCACACATGATTTTCAAAAAATAAGAACTTTCACTATCAGTATGTACATCGTGTGCAAGCTTGCAAGGTAGTTTAGCATGTGCTAAAGGTAATCATTTCCCCAAAGAGCAGAACTTTAAGAATCCATAGCATCTCTATTTGTGGCCCTGTGACCCTCACTTGTAGACAGAAACTGTATTTTATGACTTGTCAAAAAAAAACTGGAGAAGAACTGAGTCAGAGTCTGAGGACAAAAGAACTCACTTTCACTTTAGCTCTTATTTCTTCACTGTCCCCTTCGCCTTCATTGCGGGGCTCCGTGCCAGGCTCCTCCTGGTTGTCTTTGTTTTGTACAGAGTAATCTTCTAGCAGAGTGTCAAACAAAACTATTCTCTTGTTCTTGAAGAAGCCATAAAAGTAAGCATTGCTGTGGGAAGAGCGCTTAGACCCTAAGGAAAGACAGTCCAAAGCACGGAACAGAGTTAAACCATCTGGGTCCTGCGGAACTATGGGAAGGGCGTTAACATTTCCAAGCTGGTTAATACCTGGAGAAGAACTACATTAACAGGAATCATTAGCAGCCGTGGGTGACTGTCGCCCTGCCCCACTTACACTACTGGCTTGCAGCCATAGTACCCGCAGCCTAAACACCTAATTAAAATGATTAACTTGTGGTAAAGCTATGAAATCGAATTCTAGACAGTCAGAAAAAATATATATACCTGCGTGGAATTTAGCAAGAGAAAAGCTCACCGAAGTATCGTGAAGAATACAAAATGCCACACATATGTAAGGTTACCATATTATCAAAAACTGTGCATGTAGACAGGAAGGCATAAACCCAAGGCTACGAGAAAAAACACCACAGTAAGGAAGTGTAGTTCATGGGGACCCAGAAGTATGGGCGTCATCTGTCTCTGTTCCAGGGCTTTTTAGAAAGCAGACATCTATTAGCAGAAAAGCCTCTGGGAGACTGGAAGGAACACACCTAAACTTTCAACAGAGGCTGAGAGTACCCGAACTGTGGTTGGTACCACTTTCTTCTTTATGTACTTCTGAAGTTTCCAAATGTTCTTCATTGTGTAGTAATTTGAATAAAGTAGCTAAGAGCACTCTGAGCTCAACTCCTGGCTTTGGTGTGTACAAGCTGTGAAAATCTAGGAACTGTTTTAAAGCTCTAGTTTCCTGTCTGTGAAGCAAGGCTAAAATGTGCCTCATAAGATATTATAACAACATACCTTGACCAACATTAAATACTACTTAAATGAAAAAATGACAAAATAATTATTTCTCTTGAAAACTAAGTTTCTTAAAGAAAATATGAATTTTGCATTTATTCACTTCTATTTTTAATTATTTATTTTCATTTTGATGTTTTGTCTGCATGTGTGTCTGAATGAGGGTATCAAACCCCTGCAACTGAAGTTAGACAGTTGTGAGCTGTTACCTGGGTGCTGGGAATTGAGCTGGGGACCTCTGGAGAGCAGTGTTCTTAACTGCTGAGTCACCTCTCCATTCCATCATTTCTATTTTTTAAAAAGATTTATTTTTATTTAGACATGTGTGTTTGTTTAGGGATGCCACCTGTGTGGATGGGCTGGCAGAGGCCAAGAGAAGTCATGGTGGAGGGGTTGGGGAGATGACTTATTTCAAAGCCATTTCTGTTCTTGCAGAGATCTAAATTCAGTTCCTAGCACCACAGCAGGTGGCTCACAACCACATGTAACTCCAGCTCAAGGAATTCTGGTACTAGTTCTGATCTCCCATAACCAGACACACACACATATACATAATTTTAAAAAATTTACTGGGGGCTTATGTATCCCAGACTGTTCACCAGTGCTATCTATGATGTTGAACTTTTGATCCTTGTGCTTCTACCTTCCAAGTGCTGGGTTTAAGGGTGTGGGCACAACATAAGGTTTATGTGGTGCTGGGCATAAAATCCTGGGCCTTCGCATGCGAGACAAGCATTCTACAAACTGAATCACTCTCCTGGCCATGCATCTACTCATATTTCAAAAATAACACACTTGGCAGTATGTTTAGAATATAGTAAAGCCTTGATAAATAGTGGTTATTATTATTTATTGCATTGTAATATCGTTTTTGGGTAGTTACCTGGAAGTTAAGAGAAAACATATGGCCCTATTTTGTCAGTACTGTGGCAAACGTTGTTATCATTCTCATACTATTTTCTTTTTAAGTGTGTGTGTGTGTGTGTGTGTGTGTGTGTGTATGTATACATATGTGTATGGTATGGGTGCCTGCAAGGCCAGAAGAAGGCATTGGATCCCTTGGAGTTGGAGTTACAGTTGTGGGCCACCCATCGTAGGTTCTGAGAATCAATCTCAGTTCCACTTCAAGAACAACAGACACCTTTAACTGCCTAGCCTTCTCTCAAGCTCCTCATATTTCTTTTCTTTTATTAATGAGGAAGGAGTCTAGGGCTTCATGCTTGCTAATCAAGCGTCTACTGAGTCATATCCCCAACCCTCATCTTGTAACGTAATTAGTTCAAAACTTTAGATGCCATCTAAAGCTATTAATGTGGGTGGTCAGATCATATACAGACAAATAAAACCAAGGTCTCAATAGTTCCCATTGGTCCAGACTTCTTCAACTATGGTCCAAGGAATAGCCACATCAAACTCACAGACAACTGGGAACACCTACCGAGTCAGAGTCTCTAGGGTGGAGGTCAGGAAGCTGTCTTTAACAAGCTTCCCAGGGAATCCATATATAATTAAAGTTTAGGAGTTTTTGTACTATTTTGTACAAACATTTCTGTAAACATTTTGTACCTGGCAAGTAGCTTATATTTAATAATGCTTGTTTACTGACTGGATTAAATAATACCAGTAAAATAGCGAAGCAATGCATGAGAATAAAAATTCCGTGCGAATGAAAGGTACTGCACCTGTGTCTTCACACTTTGCTGTCCACTGGATTCTGGGCAGTACCGGACACAGATGAACACACCCTTCTGAACACTTAACCTCACTGCTTTCCGTTCCTCCCTGCCAATTCTGAACCTGGTGTTGCCTGCATCTTTGGCACACCAGACATGTGCCAGGGAATTCCATACCTATGTTCTGAGGACCAGCTTCTCCCTGAAACTCCAGGATTGTATAAGCAGCCACCTGTGTGACATGTCTATATCAGAAGTCTACAGATTTTTTTTTTAGTTGCTAAATTTAATTTTTATTTCCTCTATAGAAAACACTAAACTCTAAACCAAAAATATGCTGACGTTTCCCACCTAAAGAGTTTACAATAACACAATTATTTAAAACAAATGCATTTTTATTAAGGAAATTCATAGGGCTGGAGAGATAGCTCAGTGGTTAGGAGCATGTGGGGTTTTTTTTGTTTTGTTTTTTTCGAGACAGGGTTTCTCTGTAGCTTTGAAGCCTGTCCTGGAACTAGCTCTTGTAGACCAGGCTGGCCTCGAACTCACAGAGGTCCACCTGCCTCTGCCTCCCAAGGGCTGGGATTAAAGGTGTGCGCTACCACAGCCTGGAGCATGTGTTCTTGCAGAGGACCAAGGGCCAACTCCCAGCACCACAGGGTGACTCACAGCCACCTATAACTCGAGTTCCAATGGATACAGGGATCCAATGCCCTCTTCTGATTTCCATGGGCACCAGGCATACATGTGGTAAACAAACATTCATTCAAACAAAACATTCATACACATAAAATAAAAATAAATAAATCCAAAAAAACAAAACCCATAAATTTTTTTGAAAGAAAAGAAATTTACAAGTTATGATTTCTTCTTTTGCCCAACAAGGGGCCACCTTAGTTTTCCCTACACTTAAATGCAAGATTTCTCTTCATGACAGTCCTTAAAAAAAAACAAACAAACAAACCCTGGTATTGTTTCAGCCTCCTTCGACTTCTTCTGCCTCAGCCTGAATCATGATGGACACTATGGACAAAACTTCAAAATTCCCATTTAAGATCTTTGGAATCTCACTTTAAGCAATTTCCTTTAGGATTACTTTTTAGGCTAGATGGCTCTGCCTGCTTCTCGATGCGGCCAGCTCCTATGAACATGAACACGTCCAGCCCACACTCACTTATAAGCTATTACCTGGGATGATCAGGGCTTTCACGTGTTCTGCTGTCTGTCCTGCTGTCCCTTCCCACAGCCCTGGGAACTAGTCACGTGTGCAAAGCAAAACCAATCACCACCGGGTGTGGTGGTGAAAGCCTTTAATCCCAACACTCAGGAGGCGAGGTAGGCACAGCTTTGTGAGGTCAAGGCCAGCGTGGTATGCAGAGTGAGTTCCAGGATAGGCTCCAAAACTACAAAGAAACCCTGTCTCAAAAAACAAAACAGAAAAAAACAAACAAACAAAAAACCACCAACCCAATTACCATATGAGGGTTTCTAGCTACAGAAGCCTGGACAGATCTCAACTATGCTTGAATTCTTTAAGGAATTTTACATTTTAATTCATTAATGTATGTGTGTGGTGGTGGTGGGTTCGGAGACCAGCTGAGGGTATTAGAACCCGGAGCTGCAGACACAGGTGTTTGTAGGACTTCCCACTTGCTAGAGGGGCACTCAGATCAAATTCTGCTTCTCATGATTTCAAAGCAAACACTGTAAAATGCTGACCAACTAACTCTCCAGCTCCCTGCTCATTTACTTTTTGTGTGTATTTATACATGTACCACAGCTCATGTGTGGAGGTCAGAAAGTTCGTTCTACCAGGTGGGTTCTAGGGCATCAGTTCAGTCCTTGGGCTTGGCAGCAAGTCCTTTATTCACTGGGCCATCTCTCTTTTTTATTTGTTGATTTTAAAGATTAAAAAAAGTGTGTGTGTGTGTGTGTGTGTGTGTTTAAGTGCCTGCAGAGGCCAAAAGTGGGCAAAGGATCCCCTCGAGCTAGAGTTACAGGTGGTTGTGAGCCACCCAATAAGGGTGCTGGGATCCAAACTCAGGGCCTCCAGAAGAGCAAGTGCTCTTAACTGCTGAGCCACCTCTCCAGTCCCTAGATGTTTATATTTTTATCTGTGCTTTTTTCCATTTGTTACTGAAATCTTCTTTCAGAGTTCAGGGAATTTCGCACAGTGAAGGTCTTCTGTGAGTTTGCTTCTCATTTGGGAAACCTAAAAGTCAGGTATTTGCTTCCTCAGCAATTCCTGCAGCTAGCCCCATGCAACAGCTTAGTGAGTGAGATGCAGCCCTGGGAATTCTGAATAGCCAAGAGAATCACACAGGGAAGCAAAGCTGTCAAGAATTCATTCACAGTTGCCAGTGAGAGATTTTAGGGCTCTACTTTAGAACAAAACAAACAAACTAAAATCTTATTTAAATCTGTTTTTAGATTTATTTCTATTGTATTTGTATGGGTGTACACCCTATGTGTGCCTGGTGCCAAGAGGCAAGAAGAGGGTGTTAGATCCCTTGGAACTGGAGTTATTGATATTTGGGAGTCACCATGTAGGTGCTGGGAATTGAATTTGGATCCTCTGGTAGAGCAACAATTATCCTTAACTGCTAAGCTACCTCTTCAATCCCTTCTACTTTTTAAAAAACGTATGTTTGTGTGAATAGTTACACATATGTGTGCACATGTACAGTAATTCTGAAGTTGGCTTGGGCTACATGGGCTGTCTCAATCATCAACAAAAAAACAAACTTTTTACTCTGATTGGCAGAGGCCGCTGCTCATTCTAGTTACAGCCGCCTTTCTTCCCCCTTCACTTTGCAATTGCTTCACATTGATGATGTTTTAGTTTATAATAAGCACCAGAAAACTATGGCTTCAGACCAAATGCAGGTGTTGCTTGCTTGCATGTGAACAAGCCAGGTTCACGTGGCCTGTCTGTGGCTACTTCTGCCATGCAGAACTGAAGGAGACAATGTAGACCACAAAGCTCTGAACAGCGGATAGACTGAGTTTTCAGAGAACTACAGTGCAGAGGAAGCACCGCTGAAAGCCAGAGAGAGGGAGTGGTTTGTTCAAGATCCATGGATAGTAGGCTGCTGAGGCAGCATCAGCTATATGTATTTTAGACAGATCTTAATTTATAGATTCTGACACATATAATAGCTCTCCTCTAAACTTTGTAGGCCTCCTAGAAATGTAAGCAGTCATTTTCCCTCCCCTTTGGTTTCTCTGCATAGTCCTAGCTGTCCTGGAGCTCACTCTGTAGACCAGGCTAGCCTGGAACTCAGAGGATTAAAGCCATGCGCTGCCACCACCACCCAGTGAAATGTAAGCAGGCTTATGAAAACTAACAGGTGGCCTAACTCCGAGGCAATCAGAAAAGCTGTTAACTGAAGTGAGGGGCCTGACGGTACCTCAGGCAGAGTCCTCTGGCGCACTGATGTTCTGCTAGGGGAAACAAAATCAAGAACATTGGTTTTGTTTTACAACCCCTAAACTAGAGCTACATGGCTGACCATCCAAGAGTCCAACTCAGTTACCCAAAGGAGCCAGGCAAACAGTGGGGTGAAAGACTGGTCTACTACACAGCACAGTATGAGACAGGAAAAAGGCTTTGGCCAAAGACTAAGGACAGTGCTGTATAACTGACCAAACAGAGCTGGTGCAGGAACAGGATTTGGCATCAGGCTACCAGTGTCTACCCTGGAAAATGTTATAAGTTCTTATAAACCTTTTTCTTTATTTTTATTTCATTTTTTAAAATTTATGTTACAGGCAGTTGTGAGCCACTGTGTAGGTACTGGAACCAAACTCAGCCCCTCTGGAAGAACATCCAGGGTTCTTAACTGCTGAGCGTCTCTCTTGTTCAGTTCCTATAAATCTTAAAAAGCCAAATGTAAAATCTTATCCTATTTTTTAAGCAACAAATTGAAAACAAACAAACAATAAAGGCTGATTTAAGAATAAAGTGCTCAAAACAAACCACCCATTAAACCTTCTCATGTCAGGGCGCTTACCTTCAACAACATACACCTTTGTCAGAGGGAAGTCAATACTCTTTGCCATCACTTCAATCTCTTGTTTTAGCTTTCCCTCAGGAAGAGGTGTAAATTTGTCAAACAAAGGGGCAATGTAATCTGCATAAATTGTGACCAGAACCTGGAAAGTAAGTCAGAAAAACTGCCCATTATTAAAAACTTCAATTATTTGATACAATCATCACTCATCCAACCAAAACCTGGGGCCATGTCTGTTTAGCAAATTAAATCAAAGGAACAGTGTGATAGAACAATAAGCAAGTTGAGTTAACCTTATAAAAACAATGTTACTCACCCTGACTAAGAGAGCTGGGACCAATCAATAGGCCTTTCTTGGGGAGTCCTGGCACTACAAGGCAGCTATAATACACACTCTTACTTACTTTGCTTAAAATGGCACATGGCACTTCTGGATTTCCCCAGCAAATATAAGAGTCAGCAAAAAGAGAAGAAAATCTATGTTCGATCAGTTCTCCTATCTTTATATCCCAAAGCAGGAACTGAGAGGAATATGTACATGAGCAGTTGGTTACACTGTAACCTTTTTTTTTTTTAAGATTTATTTATTATGTATACAATTCCCTTCCATGTATGCCTGCATAACAGAAGAGGGCACCAGATCTCATTATAGATGGCTGTGAGCCTCCATGTGGTTGCTGGGAATTGAACTCAGGACCTCTGGAAGAGCAGTCAGTGCTCTTAACCCCTGAGCCAGCTCTCCAGCCCCACTGTAACCTTTTCTTAGGAACTACTTACGTGACAACAAAAACTAAATTTAGTTTTAGTAATCTCAAGGAATTTTTGCAGAAGAAAATGAAATAATTAAAGAATAAGAGTCCATGAGTTTGAGAGGGAGTCAGAGGGACATAAGAATTGGAGAGGGAGGGGAACAATGTAAATACAATACACTGTGGTAGTTTGAATGTAACTGGTCCCCATAAGCTCCCAGAGAGTGGCATTATTAGGAGGTATGGCTTTGTTGGAGTAGGTATTGGCCTTGTTCAAGGAAGTGTGCCACTGTGGGGGTGGGCTCTGAAGTCTCATATATGCTCAAGCCGAGCCCAGTGTCTCAGATCACTTCCTGTTGCTTGCATATCAAGATATAAAACTCTCAGATGTAAAACCATATCTGCCTGCACATCATGATGGTAATGAATTAAACCTCTGAACTACTGTAACCCACCTAATTAAATGTTTTCCTTTATAAGAGTTGCTATGGTCATGTCTCTTCACAGCAATAGAAACCCTGAGACAACTCATATAGGAAATTCTCAAATAAATGAATAAAATAAAGAGTTTACTTACCAGAGAAACAATTAATGTGAACAACCAGGCATAAATAAAAAAGTAATCACCTCCAATTTTAATAATGTAAAGTAGAAGAGATGACACAGGCAATAAAATACACTGAGTCACAGTAAATTTTTTGATTGTGTCTTTCAGAAAAAACTTCAAAGTCTGAAAAAAAGAAAATACTGCCACTATTAACTGCAGAATTAGTTTGCTTTTTAAATACTTCTAAGAGGACACAAAGCACCTCAGTAAAGCAATGTTAAGGTCAGCAAGTATTAGAGGACACTGGGACGGCTAGGAGAATAAGCAAAACTCTTGCATTTCATAGTTTAAAATTATGTAATTAATATTAGCTGAAAAGCACTAAACGCTTGTATTCAGTTTCTACCAAGACCTTTTAAAAATTTTGTTATTTTATTACACACACACACACACACACACACCCCAGAAGAGGGCACCAGATCTCATTACAGATGGTTGTGAGCCACCATGTGGTTGCTGGGAATTGAACTCAGGACCTCTGGAAGAGCAGCCAGTGCTCTTAACCTCTGAGCCGTCTCTCCAGCCCTCTATCAAGACCTTAAACTAAGGTCTTACCATATCTGTGGTTTCTTTTTCCTCAGTTGATTCATGCTCTAAATAGCAAACCACACCTAAATTACTGCCACCATAGGACCAATGCATAGAAAATTTTAAAAACCCTGATAATTTCTATTATACCTGGTGATTGAAGCCATGTTTTTCTTCTATCACAAAAGTATTATAGAGACTCCACGGCAAGCCAGTCAGTGCACTGTAGAGTGTGGCCAACAGAAGGAACACCAAAGACTGAATGATCTGAGCACAAGAAAAAAAAATTAAAAAATCAGCAAGTATGCAATGTGTGCTTACTGTATCCCAAACAATGCACTTGATCCTGTGGGGAACACATATAGGATCCTGCAATGGCATCCTGCCCTTGGGAAATGTTTACCTGGAAGAAGAGGCATGACTTGAAAGCCACCTTAAGTCAAGGGACATAATGGTTGGTAGTATTCAGAAAAGAGAGTTGCTAGTTGGATTCAAGGAACATTTATTCTTGGTTTTGTTGTATGTTTTGAAGTAGGGTCTCACCATGTATCTTTGGCTGACCCAGGACTCCCTGACTGTGAAGACCAGGATAGCTTCCAATTCACAAAGATCCACTGCCTCTGCCTCCCCAGGGTTGGGAATAAAGGTATGAGCCACCACACTTAGCTGAATTTAAGAAACATTTAAAGAGTTGGTGCAGCTTTGAGCTCACTGAGGGGAAGAGAGAAACAACACTTGAAAGGAGAAGAAATTTCAAGCAATTTGCAAAAGTCCAGAGAGAGAAGCGCAGTGTGAAACAAGTGTGATGCTGAGATGACCGGCCTGGTCAGCACTTGGTGGACTCAGAACAGAACAGAAAGCAGGCCCGACACTCACTGGGAGACAGAAAGGTAGGCAGATTTGAGTTTGGAGTCAGTTTAGGTGACACCTGTTTCAGGGAAGGAAGAAGGTTGGAGGGAGGGAAGGAGAAAAGGAGGAAGGGAGGGAGGGAGGGAGGGAGGGAGGGAGGGAAGAAATGGCAGTTTGAATGTAATTGGTCCCTATAAGCTTCTAGGGAGTGGCACTATTAGGAGATGTGGCTTTTTTCTAGGTATGGTCTTGTTGAAGGAAGTGCATCACTGTTGGGCGGGGCTTTGAAGTCTCATATATGCTCAAGTGACACCCAGTGTCTCAGTTCATTTCCTGTTGCATGCAGATCAAGATGTAGGACTCTCAACTCCTTTTTTTTTTCCAGCATCATGTATGCCTGCATGCCACCATGCCCCACCATGATGATAATGAACTAAACATTTCAACTACTGTAAGCCACCTAATGTTTTCCATTATAAGAGCTGCAGTGATTATGGCGTCTCTTCAGAGGAACAGAAACCCTAACAAGGACAGAAGGAGCTAGACCAGGCATAGTGTGTTCAAGTTTTTGTAAAATGCTAAATTCCAATAGAGAAAATTAGTCCCAATAATTACTTTAATCACCTTTAAAAAAACTGTTAGATCCAAAGCCAAGAATTACCCAATTTCCCTTTAATTTCTTATAAATTTTCCCATTTCTCTTTTCTAACTTTCATTACATTTCTTTCCAGGGCTGCTTTACTCCCAAAAGGCAAGTACGAGCTAGAACCTGGGAGAGGAATGGAGTCAAGGGAAACATTTCCGATGAGAAAGGCAGTGGGGTACAGAAGTCACCCCTGGAGAAACCTGCAGAGTATACGGACAGCGGCAGCTTTCTTCTGTTTCCACATTCCAGGAACCTGGGCGATGAGGAAAAACTGTTTCAAGAAGGCAGTGCTCAAGGGTTCTAGGACATAGAGCTGCACATGACGGGAACCGGCTCAGCCCAACCTATCTATTCACAACATGGAGCAGAACTCTGGAGTACTCTGAGTCAAGGAGGTTCATCACTTGATGAGAAAGACCAGGCCTTATCTCACTGCACAAAAACAGGACACTAGGTGTGAGATTCTTTGCTGGAAGTTTGGGACACCAGGAAGTTCTGAAAGAAACATGCTGCCTACACCTAGAGCAAACTGTGATTCTCCAACTCTCCTCTTTGTCTCTCTCTCTCTCTCTCTCTTTTTTTTTTTTTTTTTTTTTGAGACAGGGATCTTATTATGTGCCTGTTTGGTCAAAAGTGAGACCCCAGCCCTCTAACATCCCCATATCCAAAGAGTCTGGAATGTAATATTGAGTTGAAAGTGTCACCCCAGTCCCTGGCCTGGGAATTGTCAAGCACTTGGACTCCAATTCCCAGCCTGCCAAGCACTTTGAAGTCCAACTCCCAGTCTGCCAAGCGCTGACCACTCCCACAGGGTATTTAGGCTTGTGCTGGAAAAAGGAACATGTGGTTTTGGGTTTTGTGTGTGCTCTCCCTGTCGTCCCCGTGCTCCCCCCAACCCCCTGCCAGACTCCTGGCACAGCATCCATTAAATGTGGGCATTTTTGATTTGGTCTAATCTGGTTTGATTAGAGTTCTTTGCACTGGAGAGGATCAGTTAGGAAATATTCCTAACAGTACCCAAATTCACAATCTTCCTGCCTCAGCCTACTCAGTGCTGGGATTACAGGTATAAATGCGCACATTGTAAACTATTATACCTGGCTTCATTTTTTAACTATAGAAAATATTTTTAAGCCAGGCGGTAGTGGCGCATGCCTTTAATCCCAGCACTAGGGAGGCAGAGGCAGGCAGATCTCTGTAAGTTTGAAGCCAGCCTGATCTACAAGAGGTTAATTCCAAGACAGGCTCCAAAGCTACAGAGAAATCCTGTCTCAAAAACAAACAAACAAAAGAATATTTTTAATTACACAAGAAGTTCTGTACATTACTGAATTTTCTTATGGCCAGCTTCTCAGGACATAAAAACCACTTTTGGCATTTTAGAATGCATTATTTTTTTTAATTAATGTAGAATATATGCAAAGGATAATATGTACCTGGATCAGGAATGGTGATGCACTCCTTTAATGTCAGCATTCAGGAGGGAGAGGCAGGAGGATCTATGAATTTGAAGACAGACTGGTCGACAGTTTCAGGCCAGCCAGGGCTACATAGTGAGACCCTGATTCAATAAATAAATAAATGAAGATACACATCACTCTACATAAGAAAAATTGCATCTGAGGGAAAGCTGGCAGGCTGACCAACCCAGCTACTACCCAGACTCAGTCCCGGGGCTATGAGTTAGCCCACCTCCGCATCCACCAAATCTATAAACTGCTGGAGCATGGGAAGGGTCCAGATCTGCAGAGCCAAAGCTACAGAATCCCCAAGATACAGGACAACAACAGGATAACCAAGAGGAGTCCCAGTATCAATAGAGCAGCTGAAGTCAGAGGCCTCAAGCCAGACCAACAATCCACTGCAAAGAACATTTACAAGTAAAGATGTATGGACTCAGGGGTACACCGTGTGACTCACTGGGCTATGCTACAGTTTCCATGTCAAGCTTTTCTTTGCATTTTTGTTCTGTTTTGTTTTAAGGCTATACTTTTAATTTTTGCTTTGTTTTGGCAGGGAGGTCACAAGAGCAGAGAGTGGAGGTGAGGGGGCAGGGAGATGAGTGGGGTCAGGATGCATGATGTAAAATCTACAAAGAATAAATAAAAAGTTAAAAGAAATTAATTAATAAAAATAATCATTACAAACAACAAACAAAAACCCAGGCAGTGGTGTGTGCACAATTTAAACCCCATAACACGGGAGGAAGAGGCAGACAGCTCTCTGTAAGTTTGAGGCCAGCCTGGTCTACGGAGTGAGAGCAAGTTCTAGGACATCCATAGAGAAATCCTGTCTTGAAAAACCAAAAAAAGGGCTCATCTCCAGGACAATGATAATACTCATCTCATCTTTAGTTATGATTAAGGATGACACTCATGACTTAGTTACTATTGCTTTATAGCCCAACTTTTCCATTGATTCCATAAGATACATGAAATAATTTTTAAAATTCTTTTATGTATATGGGAGTTTTGCATATACATATGTGCTATGTGCATATCTGGTGATTGAAAAGGTCAGAAGAAGACATGTGATCCCCTGGAACTGAAGTTTTTTTGGGGGGGAGCCTGTCTGGGAACTAGCTCTTGTAGACCGGTTGGCCTCAAATTCACAGAGATCCGCTTACCTCTGCCTCCCAAGTGCTGAGATTAAAGGCGTGCACAACCACCGCCCGGCTACTATCAGTTCTTAATATGTAGGGAAATAGAAGAAAATGAAAACTAATTTTGATATCTTCTTATTTTAAAACACTGGAGAAGGGCAGTTAAGAGCACTGGCTGCTCTTCCAGAGGATCCAAGATCAATTCCCAGCACCCACACAGCAACTCACAACTGTTTGTAATTCCAGTCCCAGGGGATCTGATATCTTCACACAGACGTATGTATAAGCAAAGCCCAATACACATAAAATAGAAAAAAATAAAATAAAATACTGGAAAACATTCAGGACCAGCTTCTCTTTTAGTTTCTCTTTTGATGATCTGAAGGCAATTTAAACGATGCTCAGCTTCTCCTGTGATCTTCTAGCATGGACAGCTGCCCCTGGAGAGACGTCATACAGCTAAGGTAAGACCAGCGTTTGAATGCTGTAGCGTTTGAACTTCAGTGTGACATACCCCTAAAGGTCCTCTAGTTCTGGATAACTCCATCCTTTTATCACAACCATGGCCTTCATTTATGTCAGCCAGGTGGCCACCATACAGTTCTCCTGATGTGGATCACCCGTGTCTGACAGTAACAGGCTGGCACCCCCACAGTCCGCAGCCCTCTCTGTAATACGGTCCATTGAGGCAGATCTGAACCTCATTTCCAATGTGATCAGTTTTCATTTCTTTGTTGCTCTTTCATTTTTGTCAGCCAACTCCATCTTTCAATCTAGATCTCTCTGTGTCTGTGTCTCTTTCTCTCTCTCTCACACAGACACATACAGGCACACAGACAGATGCGCAGACACACACAGACACTATGCTATCCAGTCTTGTCTTGAATGCCTGGACTCAAGCAATTCTCCAGCCTCAGCCTCCCATGTAACTGAGACCACAGGCACGCACCACTGCACCCAGATCAAGGACCCATTTTTATAAATGTGTTTGTGTTTTTAGCTGGAAGAGAATGAGACATCACATTTGAATAACTGAATAACAGATGTGCAGCAACCAGTCACTTAGATTGATGAAAATATTGATCTGACTGGTCCTGATTACCACTTATCCTGTGGTGTGTATGCTGAACAGCTAAGAGGGAGCTCTGCAGTTTATGTAACTATTCACATAATACACCATGGTAACTGAAATTTGAGCCACAGTGTTGAAGAGGCGGTGTTCCAACCAAACTGTGGTAACTTACACTTGTACATATCAGAACTACACAAAGTGAGGACTCTGGCATCATGCAGTCACAAAAGAACAAAGGCCTTGCTATATGAACAATATGAAAAGAATACAAAGTCATTATTAAATACAAAACTCATCCTAGCTGAGGAAGTAATGGTCGTTAATGTCTGCTGAGGGAGAAGAAAGTCACTTTTCTTTGTCAGGGCTGAAGGGGAGAGAAGCCATTAGTTGCACATGCCCAGTGGATGTCTCCACATACATGTGCATATGAGCTGCACTGCCTTACGTAGTGAGAGAAGAGTATTTCTTACTGGCACATATGGAAGCTGTGTTTTCTCTACTCTGAGCCTGCAAGACAACGCAGTGGGTAAGGAGGTCTGCCACCAAGCCTGACTGGCTCAGTTCAGTCCTAGAGCCCATATGATGGAAGGGAGAACTGACTCCTGCTAGCTGTTCTCTAACTCTCTCTCTCTCTCTCTCTCTCTCTCTCTCTCTCTCTCTCTCTCTCACACACACACACACACACACACACACACACACACGAATCCTGTTGCCTTAGAAAATGGTATATGGAAAAGGGCACAGGATGAGCAGAGCTGCAGTGGAACAATCTTTGTACACTGTAAATATGTATTGCTCTTATTATTAATAAAAAATATATTGGCCAATAGCCAGGCAGAATTTTTGGGGTAGAGAGAATGCTGGAAAGAAGGGTAGAGTCAGAAGATGCCAAGAAACGGAGAACAAGCAAGATGTGCATGAGGAGAGGTAACAGTCACAAGCCACGTGGCTGCACACAGATGAACAGATGAGCTAATTTAAGTTGTAAGAACTAGTCAGTAATAATCCTGAGCTACTGGCTGAGCATCTGTAATTAATAAGTCTCTCAGTGGTGATCTGGGAAGCAACTGCTGAGATACAGAGAAACTCTGCCTACAAAGAGTTAAAGCCAAGAGTACCTATTTACACAGGAGGTCCATGATTTTCAATACAGTCAGGAAGGAGGTAACTGACTCGGCAGCTTCCAGGAGAAACTCAGAAAGCAGGGTTGCAGCATCCATTACAGATGGAGAGTTCACTTAAGGAGATAGATGTTCTGTCTTAATCTGAAGCATCTGCTTACTATGTATGCCACAAAAGAATCTGCTAAGTATGAGTCCCACTGAATTAATGGTACGTACCCCGTCACTGCAACAGGGTTGTTCCTAAGAAGCAGCAGCCTAATCAAGACTACATTTTCCAGTGCCCTTCCGTCTGGGTAAGATCAAATGACTACTCACCATATAATGTGAATGTATGATAAAACCTTAGCATTACAGAAATTAAAGAGGGCATGTTCTTCCCACTGTCATTAGGCACTGGATGACAAACCCATAAAACAAATACATGCTGACTCGCTACCTAGCCACACGGAACAAAGCCACCTGCTAACTGAAAATACTCAGATAAGCTATTACTTGACTGGGAAATAAGCTGAAAAGCCCTCAGAATTCTGGAGTTCTAGTAACTAGCTGTGGTAGCTGAGGGATATGTTCACCCATAGGTGCGGTACTTGAATGTTGGTCCCTAGTTGGTGAAACTGTTTGGTAAAGATTACAAGGTGTGGCCTTGCTGGAGGAGGTGTGTCACTGCCTCTGTCTGTGGATCAGATGTAAGCTCTCAGCTACTGCCCCAGCACCATGCCTGCCTGCTGCCATGTCCCTGGCATGATAGTATGGACTCACCATTTCAGAGTGCTTTCTTTTACAAGCTGCTTTGGTTGTAGTTCTTTGTCATGGCAACAGAAAAGTACCCTAACTACTGGCATTATGCTAATATATGCACAAAGACTGCTGGGACTGAGAGGCAAGTCTAATGACGGTAGGAGTCAAAAAGGCAACTTAGCGTAAAGCTTACCAAGCAAAATAAAGACTGACCAATCTGGGCAGAGAAATCACATACCTCATACTCTGGGCCGAAGCCAGCAGATCCACAGACCCGTCCAGAAAGCCTCCAAAGGTAAGGGATTCCTCCAAAGAGAAGAATAAGCTGTAAAACAAAGCAGATTGGGGTCACATTTAAACAGTTTTAGAAACTACCATATAAAAGAGTGTGTTATAAGGAAAAATGAAAGGGGAAATAAATGTTACAGAAAAAGTGAGGGACTAACCCATTTAGAATAAAATATGTATTTAGAAGAATACCAACTACTGAGACACTAAGTTTAGACTACTGAGCTATTTTTGCCTATACACTGTATATGGGTAAACTGTATGGTATGTGAACTACAATTTTTTGTTGTTGTTGTTTCTCGAGAAGGGTTCTCTGTGTAACAGCCCTAGCTGTCCTGAAACTGGCTTTTGTAGACCAGGCTGGCCTTGAACTTACAGAGATTCACCTGCCTTTCCTTCCTGAGTCCTGGGATTAAATGTATGAGCCACTGTTGTCCAGCGTGAATTACATTTCAAAAAGCCTGTTTAAAAGGCAAGTCCAGGAATCTCACTCACTTTTGGAAGTTTAAAAAATATAATAATCTAGGGCCAAAGAGGTGGCTGAGCAGGTAAAGACACTTGCCACATAGTCTGATGACCTCTCTGGAATCAGTATAAAAGATGAAAGAGAATTGACTCACCTCCACATGCACACCGTGGCACACATGTATGACCTCCAATCACGTACACACACACACACACACACACACACACCACCAACAACAAGAAATAAATAGTTTTTTAAAGATTTTAAAAATCAGCCTTCTAGGGGAAAATAAAATAGTAGTTACTAGAGCCTGGAAGAGGATGGGAGGAATGGATTTAGAAACACGCTAGATAATGGATATCAAAACAGTCAGTAGGGGTTAATTCAGACATCTATGGAAAATCAGTAACTTGAGCCTACAACAATTTATGAAGTGTTTCACAAGAACCACAAATCCAAAGGTTTCTGGCATAGATATATTTAAGGAAATGGGAATTCTAAATACACTGGTCCAATTGCCATACATGGCATAAATTTTCTAAATTACACTGTACTCTATAAATGTGTATAACTATTATGTGACAATTAAAAATAAAAACTAGGAGTGAGGCTAAGGAGGAATTCACTAACAGTGCAAGGTTACAGCGGGAACAGATTCTAGTTTTTGTAGAGTTGAATTTGAAAACAGGTAGAAGAGAAGGTTTCAATGTTTATATCTCACACACACACACACACACACAACTATTGTTTATGGTGACAGATATGCTAATTATTCTGAACAATATTAAATTTATCAAAAACATCAGTGTACTCTAGAAATGAAAATCATGTGTTAACCATAATACCTTATAAAAATTAAAAAAAACTTTTGTCAAGAGACTAAAATCAAAACATATCAATCAAACAAACTAAGCTTACAAAAGTGAAATCCCACAGGTAAGAAGCAACCGACGGCACGTGAGCCAGGCAATCTGGCTTTAACTATCTTTTCCATGAAAGGAAACTGTCCTTTTCAGTCAGAAAAAGAGTATTAGCTTGCAGATGTTTCAGACATTATCTTGTTATGTGGCCCAGGTTGGTTGTGAACTCCTGAGTTTGAATGAGCCCCTGCCCCTACACAGCTGCTGACGAAATAGCTCTGATACAGAAGCTCCACCCACGGAGCAGACTGCGGGGCAGACTAGGATCCGCAGGCCTTCCCTGGGTAGGAAAAGATGAGTCCTGAGGCAGGAGTCAGGGCCTCAGGAGTAGGCCCTTACCACTCTGTCTTGGGCAAATAAGTAAACCTACACTCACCAAATCACCAGAACTTCAGAAACCACTAAGCAGCTCAAATCATGAAAACAATGTATGATTAGCAGCCTGTAATCCCATCTACCCAGGAAGCTAAGGCAGGATTACAAGTTCAAAACTTGCCTGGGCTATAAAGTGAGTTACAGACCAGCCCAAGAAACAGTGAGACCTGCCTGGGGGGTTGGGAAAACAGCAAGGGGGTGCTAGATATACAGTTTAGTACTGAAGTGACTGCTTAGCCTGCAGGAGGCCCTGGTGCAACCTCCAGTTGTAGGGAAGGAAGGAAGAAATGAAAGGGAGAGAGGGAAGGGAGAAGGACGAAAGGGAGGGAAGGGGGAAGAAAAAGAAGGAGGGAAGGGGGAAGGAAGAAAAAGGGGGAGGGGGAAGGGAGAGAGGGAAAGGGCGGGGGAAAAGAGGAGGGAAGTGGGAAGGAAGAGAGGGAAGGAAGGGGGAAGGGAGAAAGCGAGAGAAGGGGGAAATGGAGTCAGTCAGTCAGTCAACTTCTGGAGCTAGTGATGTTGCATACTGGTAGAGTGCTTGCATGAATAAAGCCCTGGATTTGATCACTGGCACCACCTTATAAAGAAACTCCAATTACCACAACAGGTCCTACTAACAATGAGGCTGCAGAGCTCACTTTGTCAAGAATCAATGTGTTTTTCTCCAGATAGGAACCCAAACACAAGATCAAGAATCAACCACGCTCATAGCTATGAATTCAAATATGTCGCCTCATTTAGGTTTTGTTAAGTGGGTCCCCCCCCACGGGGATGGAACACAGGGCTTTAGGTCTATAACTCTAAGCTGTATCTACAAGCCAGCTTGAAGGGCTTGGGAATAATAATATTTTATGAATATTCTTCCAAGCTACTTTCCATTTTTATATACATTGATGAAATGCAGAGATTCTCTACTTTTAAGTGTATATATAAAGGATTCCAGATTGCTCTCATTCACAACACTATGCAGCCCTGGCTGCCCTAGAACTCACCACACAGACCAGGCTGCCTGCTTCTGCCTTCCGAGTGCTGGGATAAAGGTATGCATGCCACGTCTGGCCAGAACTGTATTTTCAAAGATCTCTCCATGGTGACTGTTAGCTTTATTGGTATTGGCAGCTGCTCTCCAGTGCCCACACTACACTTCAGTCCACGTCCACAGCACCTGTGTTCTTATCTCGCTACAAACGCAGATACACCGCATACTACCTATCCTTTACATTTGTTTCGTTTCTGAGACAGTCAAGGCACAACTAGAACTCACTTCCTCAGTATCCCCAGTGCTGTGATTGCAGGTGTGCATCCCCACACCTGGCTGTCATTTAGAGTTTTACCAGCTCTAATGATGTGCACAGGTCTCAAGTAAGCTTCTGAAGAGAGCCAGGAGCAGCAGTGCCTGAGGTTAGTCAGGAATGCAGTCTTGGGCCACAGCCCGCAGAAGCTGGGCTGGGGACCCAACAGTCTGCAGGTGAATCTGGCAGACACCTGTAACTCCAGGTGAACGCATTAATACTTTGCTACAATTAACTCCATCGTGGCCAAAAGAAACTTGTTCCTAAAAGATACGTTCTGGCAGCACTACCTGTCACAGGCTGCAGTTGTTGACTGGCCTAGGATGGCACTCCCTTAATCTTCCTCCCAATACTAACAATTACTGTAGAATCAAGGACTTACACTGCTTTGATAGGAGGTGAAAATAGCTACTACCAAACCTCCAGCTTTTAAATAAACCTGGGGTATTTTAACATGCCTTTGAATGATTCATGAACACACTTGGAAAGCGCTGCTCCAAACCTTGTTTAGTTTACTTTGGGGACTGAAAAACAAGTATGGTGAGCTATAAACTTTCTCCATGCTAATAATCCTCTGAGTACACTCCTGGGAGTCCTAGGAAAAGAATCAATAAGCGCAAGAGACACAACTCCAGTACTCTGACATATATATTATTTCAATAGTCTTAAAAGCAGACATGGCAGCAATGTAACTGGAACACAGAGAGGTTAAAGTAATGCCTGAAGAAATCCAGTGGCAAAGTGCTCGTTGCATGTTGAGCCCTGTATGAAGAGCTTCATTTATACTACCTTGCCTACTCAGTCCATGCCACAGCCTTACAAAAGTCTAGTGACTATCCACCTCTCATTTTATTTTATGTTTTCAAAGATTTATTTCCTCTGTGTGTGTGTGTGGGGGGGGGAGTGTTAGGGGTATGTGCATGCAATTCCAAGTGCTCATGGAGGCCAAAAGAGGTCCCTAGATTCCCTGCAGCTGGAGTTTTGGGCAACTGTGAGCCACCCAGTGTGGGAACTGGGAATCAAAATTGGCTCTTCTGGAGGAGCAGTACATACAATTAACCACTGAACCGCATCTCCAACTCTTACTTGTTACTTTTCAGGAGAAAATGAGGCTTAAAGAGATGAAAATGCAGCTAGGCTGTAGTGGCAGCTTTTAATCCTAGCACTCAGGAGGCAAGCGATCTCTGTGAGTTCAAGGCCAGCCTGGTCTACAGACCAAGTTCCAGCACAGCTGGGACTACACAGAGAAACCCTGTCTCAAAAAAAACAAAACAAAACAGAGATGGAAATGTTCGTGTAGAGATATGTAGAACCTAAAGTAGAAAAAAAAAAAAAACAAAACTGAGCTTAGCTGAGTTTAGTGGGTCACTTCTTTTAATCCCAACATTCAATAGGCTAAGAGGATTTAAGGCCAGCACGGTCTACATAGCAAATTCTAGGATAGCCAGGCTACATAGTGAGACCACCCCAATCCCTCCTCACCCCCCAATCAAAACAAAACAAACAAAACCGAAAGTTCTGAGAAGAGAAGATGGCTTAGTGAGGACCTGACTTTGGAATCCCAGCAGCCACATGAAAATCCAGGCATGGGACTCAAACCTATAATCCCACTGCTAGGGAGGTAAACAGAAGAAGTCATGGAACTCGCTAGATATCTAGGCTACCCAATTAGTTATCTATAGGTTCAGTTAGGGAGCTTGTCTCAAGCAATCAGATAGAGAAGAGGCTGCGGAAGACACTCAGCGTCAGCCTCTGACCTCTACACTTGCTCACACACACAGACAAATGGGCTGCGGACACTACACACACAACCTGAGTGTTTCTACTCCGGTCTTCTCCATTCCAACCATAACAGTTCTTGATGGTGTTTTACTATAGCCTTGCTTGTATTGCCCAGGGCAGTCTCCATCTCTCAGACTCAAGCAATCTTTCTGCCACAACTCTTCAGAAGCTAGATTACAGGATATAGCGCCACAGTGCTAGCCACTCCATTTCTAGGAAGGACTCTTAAGAATATCCGTGAGAGATCAGGTGACAGACCAGGTGACGTCTATCTCACAGAGTCTGGGCTGCTTTGTCACACTTAGGTGAAAAGTAGCCCCCACGATTGGTTTATACGGGGGTTTGTTTAGTTTTTCTCAGATACAAAGAACCAGTGCAAACAGTGTATGTGTATGTGTGTGTGAGGGAGAGTAAACTTAATGTTCTCTTTGTGTTCTAAACATACAAATCTTTTAATTTTGGTCAATACAAAATAATGAGTTTTTGTCCAGTGGTAAATGCAGCTCCTAATTTTCCAAAACTTAATCCAACCACATTCACACTGTGGTCCACGGTCGGAAGAACACTTTCTTCAGTGTAATTTTAAAGACTCAGAAGAGCAAAGCTGCAAACCCAGTTCTCCCATTTGGCCATTAAATGGGTCATTTAATTTCTCTGAGCCTTCATTTCTTTCCAGAAGGGGAAAATGACTATTCCTCTACTTTAGTATTATAAACATCAAATAACAGACATTAAAAACTCTATGAAATGAAAATCATAACTAGTACTGTTACCAGCTTTAGTCCATCAGTACTGTTTAGAGGTGAGCCTCAGCACACCGTAAAGTCATAACACTGACGGTATTACCCCTACCTTCTATCACAACACACACCATTCCCATGATCACCAGTATCACCAAATTACTGCCGTCTTTCCAGCAATTACTTACTAGTGACAATCACAGAAAAACTGAAAATGCTTTTCCTGTCATTTTATCAGGGTCATGTGGGGATAAAGTCAAAGAACTTCAAAGAAGCTTAGCTTATAAAAGACTTTTAGTTCAATCTTCAGCAAAAGCAGGAAAAGGAGGAAGAGAAAGAAGAGAAAGAGCCTGGTGGTGGTGGTGCATGCGTTTAATCTCAGTACTCAAGAGGTAGAGGCAGGCAGATCTCCAAGTCTGAGGCCAGCCTGGTCTACAAAGTGAGTTCTAGGACAGCCAGGACTATTATACAGAGAAAACCTGTTTCAAACAAACAAACCAAAAAGAGGCAGAGGAGGCGGCAGTGGTAGCAGTAGACCTGTACAGCTGGTTAAAGGACAACATACAATATAAGGTTCTTTTCATATCTGGCCTTCAGGTGACAGTTACCAAATTCTGTTTTCAACTAACTAAGCAATTGAAGAGTCTGCCTCTCTCACACCACACCCATTACTAACATTAAGGCAACGGCAGGGGTATGGCTCAGGGGAGACTACTCAAGGTTCTAGGCTTGAGTCCTAGAAATGGCCCTGAGACCCATATATCTGAATGCTTAATCATCCCGGAGTGGGGCTACTTGAGAAGAATTAGGGGGTGTGGCTTTGTTGGAGGAAGTGTGTCACTGAGTGTGGGCTCTGAGGTTTCAAAAGCCCAAGTCAGGCCCTGTGTCATTTTCTCTTCCTGCAGCCTGTGATCTGGATGAAGAACTCTCAGCTACTTCTCCAGTACCATGCTACATGCCACCATGATGACAATGAATTAACCTCTGGAACTTTAAGCAAGTCCCAGTTAAATGCTTTCTTTTATAGGAGCTGCTGTAGTTGTCAGGTGGTGTGGCACACACTTTTAATCCCAGCACTCGGGAGGCAGAAGCAGGAGGATCTCTGTGAGTTCGAGGCCAGCCTGGTCTACAGAGCAAGTTCCAGCCAGGGCAACACAGAGAAACCAGTCTGTCTTGAAAAACAAAAAAGAGCTGCTGTGGTCAAGGTATCTCTCCACAGCAACAGGACACCAAGACAGTGTCAAAGTAAATACATATAAAAACTTTAAGAAGGCATTCTAGGATTTACATGCATTATAACCTCTGTATCATAAAAATGCAAAAACAAAGACAAATATTACTAAACACAGAACAACCCAAGAGCTGTGTCTCCAAGAAAGGAAATCACTCACAGTGCTTTCCACCACTGAATAGAGTCCGGACCAGAAGCTGAAGGTACTTTTATCCAGTTGATACAGTCGAGACTTCTCAAACGTGTCTGAATCCATGATCTGTTCGAGCTCTGGTGGTACATGAGTTGTTGTTTTGTATATCCTTCTCTGAAATATTTTAAAAAAAAAAGACTTTAATAAATATTTTTTAAAGTATTTATTTATTTATTACATGTACAGTATTCTGTCTGTGTGTATGCCTGCTGACCAGAAGAGGGCACCAGACCTCATTACAGATGGTTGTGAGCCACCATGTGGTTGCTGGGAATTGAACTCAGGACCTTTGGAAGAGCAGGCAATGCTCTTAACCTCTGAGTCATCTCTCCAGCCCAATAAATATTTTTTTATTACACAATAGTAATTTGTAGCCAAATAACGAAGGTTCTGCAGCACCAGTTTGTCAGGTAAGCTTGTAGAATTTGTTACAGGCACGTGCAGACCACATTCAGTCAGGGACCCTGACTACTGAAACAAGTGTCACAGGAGAGTAAGAGCAGACAAAAAAAAAAAATTTCAAGGCCAAGTGACTACATGGAACGGCCATCTGGGTTGTAGTCACACTTTCAGTTTGCCAAACTTGTAGCATCATAAGAGAACCACTTATTCTGAGTATGATGGAAGTCTTACAACATAGGAAACAATGCATGATAAAAGAGAAGCAAGCATGCTCACTACACCATTACATACATTAACAGATACTTTTGATATAATAATGACTCATCATTAAATTTGGTCCTATAGGTCAAATTAAGGAACAGAAGAGTGACAGAAACTTATCAAATCTTTACAACAAATTTTCTCACCGTGTCAAACTCTAAAAGGTAATTCCAGTCCTAGCTAGGACATAACACAGGGAATAGATACCAAAAGGTGTGATAGACCAGATCTTCTTCAATGGTTTTAAAACAAATACTTTTTCTACCATATGTTAACAACAACAACAAAAACAAACAAGGCCACCTGAAGGCATTAAGAAATAACCTCACAAAGATGTTCCTAGGCATATTAGTGAACTGTCAGATGAGTGCTCAACATCTCAGCCTGCTGGGGACGCTGTATGATATGCGTTTGCCTCAGGCAAGGGTACTTATGCAAGCCTGAACTACTGGAGCTCTGAGTACCTACCTATAGTAATTTAACACTTGGAACATACTAAAGGAGGAGACTGAGGCATAACCTATGTTGACAGGTTTTTTTTAAACAAACAAACTGGGTGGTGGTGGCACACACCTTTAATCCCAGTTCTCGGGAGGCAGAGGCAGGTAGATCTCAGTGAGTTCCAGGACAGCCAAGACTATTACATAGAGAAACCCTGTCTTGAAAAACCAAAAATACAAGCAACAACAATTTAAAAAACAAACAATAAAAAACTTGCAGTTAAGAGATTCATGAAGGCTGGCGATGTAGCTCAGTGGAAGAGCACTTGCGTGACAAATAAATTTGTACACACACACACACACACACTGTAAATTAAAAAAACTGCAGAAGAAAAAAGGCTGCAATGCTCAAGAAACAGGTCCAGCAGTTAAAGGGAAAGGTTCTCAAGGACGTCAGAGAATGGGGTTAAATTAAGCCAACCAGCAGTGAGAGACTAAAATAAAACCCTCAGTTACAAAGTCCATCTCACTTAAACGTTCAAATTTCTTCAAACTGTTAATTATGGCTATATCCGGGGAACCGTTAGCTTTACCACTGCATTACTCAAAATTTTAAACAAAAACAAAGGGGACGTGTTAATGAAAACCGGACACACACACACACACACACACACACACACACACACACATATTGGGCTCCAAACACATAAGCACTAAAGAGGATTTTGAAAAAGAGTGCAGGCCTTTAGAGTGATTACAAAACACTTTCAGAAAAAAAAAAAATGTTTCCTAATCCTGTGGATAAGCAAGGCAATATCAATGTCATGGCAAGCTGTTACTCTAAAATTTTAGCAACTTCATTTAGACAGCTTATACCAAAGATAAAGGCGTCCAGCTTGGGCCCAAGGATCCTAAGGTGCTGTAATGCAGGCACAGACAGGCTCTAGCTTGACCAAGGACGGCTTTCCTTTCATGAAACGCTAACAGGCTTCGGTCCCATTACACGGTGCAGACAACTTCCTGCCGTCCCAAGAACCCCTCAAAGTCACAGTCAGCACTGGGAAAATTTAAGGAGCTCACTGAGAGTTAAGGAGTACAGAGACTGGTGCTACGCCTGGGAGAACCTCTAGGGACTTGGGTCGAGGCACAGGCTAACCTAAGAGCTGCCCAGGGGCTGGGTCAGGTGGGCCGGCTATGCTTACCTGCCGCTGTGCTAGAAAGGTCTCCCACAGATACACGGTCCAGGAAAAGATCAACACCGCCCCGAAGATTCGCTTCTCCACAGGGAAGTCCCACATAGTGTCCACCGATGCCCACATACCCATGGCCACCCAAATCCACCCGCTCCTTCAGCGTGCACCGGTGCCACACCGACTCGCGTCCCTCAGAGTGCCAGCGGTGTTGCAGCGATATGGGTCCCTTAGCCTCTTCACACTCCCATCCCCTCAACGCTGCTAGCAGTGTCACAAAGACACTCTTCCCCTTCCTTACTCCCTCAGAGCCTACTCATTTCTGCTAGAATTAAGACATGCCCCACCTTCCTCACTTCCTGCCCGAAGACCGAGCGGAGGTACACTTGAAACATTCCTCCGGACTCTACGCCGGAGACTCCAACTCAAAGGTTCCGGGCTCCTTCCTGGGAGGGTCCGCGTGGTCGCCGCCTGTCGTGCTTTGGCGGCTTCCCCAGAAAAGGTGGTCGACTGCTGTGCTTACCGGTGTTGTGCAGGCCGCCTGGTAACCAGGTTTAGCGGGAACTAACAGGGCGGACCCAATCCTACCTAGAAGTAGCTGGGAAGGATGGGTGGAGCTCTAAAACTTTCCTTTCTTCTATTTAGCGCTGTTCAAAAGATAGCTAGCCAAACAAGGCGTTACAGCTGGGTCATACCGCTTGTCTTGGTAAGTCCTGACTTCGGGAGTATTAGAGAGAGTGAAAATTACACTACTGATGAGGACTTTTATTTAGACATTTCATCTTATTCTCCCCAAGTGCAGTCAAAGGGGGCATGTTGCCTTGTGTGTCCTGGGACAAGGCAACTATGGATAGCATTTCTAACCCCAAACAGGCAGGGTGAGCTTGGTGGCCACTGTCTGAAATCCCAGCAAGACCTGGTTTCAAACGCCTCCTCCAACACTCTCCCACTCCCCCACACTCATACAACTCACTACCGTTTTTGCCTTGGAATTCATCAGTGAAATGGGGTCACTGACCCGTTAATACATTGAATTTACTTGAAAAGTGAAGTCAGATTTTTTTCTGAACAAAAGTAAATGTAAATACGATTTAGTTAATAGTTTCTAAAAACTAATTTTGCTAATTTGCATAATCATTATTTATAGTGAATTGAGCTAAGTCTGTAGCTTCAACTAAAATATATGTAAATTATGGTGAAATTGGAATGCTAAAGATGTGTTGAGATTAACAAGGTTTCAAATTTCTCAACTGTGCCGAGATTCATCCACCTGAGAGTAATCAGTATAAGCCACCAGACAGTGTGAATTATTTCAATATAATAGGATCACAAACTCTTTTGCAAACCAAATGTTCTTTGGGGGAATTTTTGCTTCCAGCAAAATCAGTGGTGTGCTTGCACTGTGTTAGCAGAACTTCGAGTTTTAGAATGTAGCAAGAGAAAACAATTGGTTGACATTATCAAGAAGTACAACATTTTTTTAATTTTAAAATAAAAATTATTTTGTGTGTATATATGTTTTGCCTGTATGTGTGTCTGTGCATCACCTTCGTGCAGTGCTCATGGGGCCACAGAAGACATTGTACCTCTGGGACTGGAGCTGTAGGATGGTTGTGAGCTGCCATATGGATGCTAGGAATTGAACCCTGGTGGGCTGCAAGAGTAGCTAGTACTTGCAGCTGAGCTAGTACCCCATTGCTCCAGCACCCCATTATTATTTAGTTATTAAAGTACTTCCTGGGGCTGGAAAGATTAAGGACATTGGCTGTTTTTCCAGAGGATCCAAGATCAATTCCCAGCTCACAACTGTCTGTAACTCCGGCTCCAGGGAATCTGACACCCTCACATAGATATACATACAGGCAAAACACCAATGCACATAAAATAAAATAGTCTTAGCGCTTCTAACAAAACAGGAAGCGAAAGTGAACTGACCCTGTTGGTTTAGCAATATGAAATACATATGCAGGAACATGAGTTGATGGGAAAGTCCCATTTGTAAGTCCCTGCCACCTGCCACACAAGCAAAAGCCAGGCACCGGATCTTTGGTGGGTTTTTTTTTTTTTTTTGAGACAGGGTTTCTCTGTAGCCTGGAACTAGCTCTTGTAGACCAGGCTGGAACTCACAGATATCCGCCTTCTTCTGCCTCCCGAGTGCTGGGGTGCATGCGCCACTGCTGCCCAGCTGGATCTTTGTGTTTTATGGTGAAAGCCAGCAGTCCAAAAATAGTAGATTAACATTCTAAGGCTCTAACATCTTTTTCCCCCTAACACCTCATTTTCAACCAGCAGATTATATATGGGAGGAAAACAAGCAATCATTTCAGTCTTGCCCCTCTTGTCAGGTGATCTGTTTTGTCTATGAGATTCATTCACTTTGCTGGAGCCTTCTTCCTCATCACCTCCTGTGTAGCATCATTCTCTGTGTAGCAGGGGGAAGGTTCACATATGCCAATGCCACTGAATCTTGTGTTGCTCTTGAATTCTCTAGATTGACAGCTAACTTATAATAGGCCATTAGCAGCTTGTAATATAGAATCCCTTCATTATAATGGAACACAAGTACATGCGTCTAATTCCCAATAGAGTTCTTGTTCCCCTCTGAAACCTCAGAAGCATGGCCTCCGTTGACTGCATTTGCATTGACGGTCTGCTCTTCCAAACTCTCATCAGAATAAGTTCTGCTATGGCACTCCAGAACATCTCTAGCACACAGCGTGAAACTCATCCACATTCCTCGTACAACCAGTTAGAAAGGCAATAGTCGGGTTTATCACAACGATGATTACACCTCCTGGTACTGATTTTCTGTATTAGTTACTTTGATAAAATCCCAGAAAGCAGCAACTGGGGATCTATTGCTCATGGATTTGAGAAGGTACAGTCCATTGTGGTGGGGCAGGCAGGGCATCTGAAGTAGCTGGTTCTGTGGTAGCGGGAGCATGAGGTTGCTTGTTCGCACTTCAGTGGACCAGGAAATAAAGGACTCAGGCCAGAGCAAGAGTTGATAAAAGGCCCTAACAACCTATTTACTCCAGTAAAGGCCCACATCCTAAAGACCCTATAATCTCCAATCTCCCAAAACATTGTATGAGGATGAAACACATGAACCTATGGGAAATATTTCATATCTAAGCCCTAACAAATAGCCACCCTCATCTATTAGAAAGTATTCCTAAATTTTCAAGATGGTTCTCTTTTTAAACAGAGAGGGAACAATTTGTACCCAACGTCATGTCTGTTCTCGGTCCCTATCTCTAGCTTTATGTAGGAGGGGGAGTTTCAAGACAGGGTTTCTCTCTGTGTAACAACCCTGGATGTTCTGGAACTCGCTCTGTAGACCAGGCTGGCCTTGAACTCACAGAGATCTGCCTGCTCTGCTTCCTAAGTGTTGGGATTAAAGGTGTGCACCACTACTGCCTAGCTCATCTCTATCTTTAAAACAAAAATGTGTATACAGGTCCGGGTGCAGTGGCACACACTTTAATCCCAGCACTTGGGAGGCAGAGGCAGGAGGATCTCTGTGAGTTCGAAACCAGCCTGGTCTACAAGAGCTAGTTCCAGGACAGGCTCCAAAATCACAGAGAAACACTGTCTCGAAAAAACAAAACAAAACAAAACAAGGGAAAAAAAAACCATAGTGAGCTCCAGGATGAGGGTTACATAGACCATGTTTCAAAAAGAAATAAATTAAAAATATGTATACAATCATAGCAGGGTATGTATTTGGTGGGCTTTTTTTGTTTGTTTGTTTTTGTTCTTAAGGGACCCACCACCCAGCTCCCAAATAAATACACAGAAACTTATTCTTACTTACGCTATCCGGCTTTAGCTTGGTTTGTTTCTCTTTAACTACATTTTGCCTCTGGGCTTTTTATCTTTCTTTACTCATTTTTCTGTCTTTTGTTCTTACTCCGTGGCTGGCTGTGTGGTTGTGTGGCAGGCTCTAGGTATCCTCATTTCCTCATTTTTTTTCCTCTTCCTTCTCTCTTCTCCAGAGCCTAGATTTCTCCTCGTATTTATTCTCTCTCCCTGGAAGCCCCGCCTATCCCTCTCTCCTGCCTAACTTATTGGTCACTTAGACCTTTATTAGACCAGTCAGGTATTTTAGACAGGCAAAGTAACAGTTTTACAGAGTTAAACAAATGCAACATAAAAGAATGCAGCACATCATTGCATCATGAAACAAATGTTCCGCAGCATAAACAAATGTAACACATCTTCAACTAATATTCCACAACAGGGTATAGTGACTCATTCCTTTAATGCTAGCACTCAGGAGGCAGAAGTAGGCAGATCTCTGTGAGTTCGAGGTCAGCCTTGTCTATATAGTGAGACACTGGTAACCCTTGCTGGCCTTAAACTCAAAGAGATCCATGGGTCTCTATAGTTGGTTGTTTTTTCTCACTCTTTTTATTCTTTGCCTCTTTTAGGTCTTTTGCGGGAACTGCCAAGCAGCTTTCAGATAAATACACAGGGAGACTTATTATTAATTGTCAATGCCCAGGCTTAGCTTGGCTTGTTTTCTTGCCAGCTTTTCTTTTCTTTCCTTATTTTTTTTTAATTTTTTTATTTATTTTTATTTTTTGGTTTCTTGAGACAGGGTTTCTCTGTGTAGCTGTGGAGCGAGTCCTGGCACTAGCTCTGTAGACCAGGCTGGCCTCGAACTCACAGAGATCCGCCTGCCTCTGCCTCCTGAGTGCTGGGATTAAAGGTGTGCACCACCACCTAGCACTGCCAGCTTTTCTTAACAATTATCCCATCTTTGCCTCTGGGCTTCTACCTTTCTCTATTTTGTTATATCTTTTTTTTTTCCTTCTTAGTTTGTGTCTGGCTGGATGGCTGGCCTCTTTTCTTGCTCCTTGATCTTCTCTTCCCAGATTTATCCTCGTTTATTCTCTCTGCTTGTTAGCTCTGCCTATCCTTTCTCCTACCTTGCTATTAGCTGTGTAGTTCTTTATTAGACCAACCAGATGTTTTAGGCAGGCAAAGTAACATAGCTTTACAAAGTTAAACAAATGTAACATAAAAGAATGTAACACATCATTGAACAAATGTTCCACATCATAAACAAATGTAACACGCCTTAAACTAATATTCCACAGCAAACCTCTGTCTCCAGAGTGTTGAGATTAATGGCCCGTTTCACTAGGTCTGATTCTTCTTCCTTTTGAAAACCAATGATTCCAATTATTGTTGCCTGTGTGGGTGTGTGGGTGTGGGCCATCTATTAGAACATGGCCAACCTACCAGTGGCCACACTTCCAAAGAAAATGATTCTTTATTCCATGGCAGCCACTAAGTGTCAATAAGTGCTGTATGCTGTGAATGCCATTGGTTAGTAATGAAACTGTCTTGGG